ACATATAGTCATGAATTTTTATGTATTAACCATATAGTCATTTAATACCTTCTTTGAATATGTTCCACCAAATATTTTGGATTATTATTTTTGTCACTTGTAGTTCAGGACCTAGTTCATCAATAATCAAAATAATTTTGGTATACAAAAGTTATAAGATACTTTTATTCTTAGATGAATACATTTTTTGTCTGGAAATATCATTGCTTGAGATGGCTTCTGGCTGTTGACTTTTCTGTACATATCTGATAACTAACGAAAGCCAGTTTTTGTATATGTAAACTGTAGTATATGATCCCTTGTTTTGGTTGCATCATAAATGATCCTTCAGTGCATTGCTAGTTTGACAATATTGAGAATTTCAGTTTTATGCTTATACAAAAAATGAACCAACTACCCATTTTAATATTAATGGGTGTTTTTGTTGTGATAAGGTTTAGGTCTACACCTCACCAAAAGAAAATGAAATCACAGGAGGGGCCATTTTGGAAACCCCTCCATTTCAATATTCTAATTACAAAATATCTCGTGCTGCATTTACAGTGACACCAACTGTAGTAGGCATTGAGTTATTTTATATCACACAGACGGCACATGAAATATATTTATTCTGTTCGTACATCGAAGGGAACCACATTGCACCCTAACTGCGAAAAACGATTTCCCGTTATCGTTGGTGTCAGCCCCGCCGTCCAATGGCTGTGCATGTTCGTCCACACACACGTACTCGGAAGCAGCTTTATGTCCATAGTTTCCTGCCGCCAGTGATCCACTGTACGCCTTCGTCCAGCCGCTGTAGCAGGTCGTCCTCGCCGGTATCATCACAGAGGAGACAAAAGACGTAGATCTACAGACGGCACAGGGAACCTCTTCATTTCGTGAGTTCAGTCCGAATGGCGTTGCCGTATTTTCAGCATTGTATTCTGCGCCGTACATTAATGCAGTGTAGTCATCATATGGCATGTTTTTGTATGGTCCCCACACCGGATCCCGTGGTAAACAAACAAAGTTCGCCGCCGCAATCAGGTGATCAAACCAGGACCCGCCTGTGTACCCTACAGGGTGTTTAAAGACAAAATAACACAAGTAATTAATATCATTACTGGTCTTAGTTGAAAACTATCTATTTTGAAAGTTGCTCTGACTTTTGAGAAAGGATGAGTGTCTATAAGGCCCTTTTTAGGCCCCGGTATATTCGGATTTTTACAAACAAAATTGGAAGAAAAGAAATTAAGAAATAATATGAGTAGCAGCTAGCATTGAATTTAACAAATACACCGTATGAAATCAATAAAATGATTAACTGTTAATTGCAAGCATTAACTTGAACGAACAACTTAGTCTCTATTTGCGTTTTTAAAGCATAAACTATCTGCCTTTTGGTCAGTGTAGCATATCAAACGCCCCTCTTACTACTATAAACACTCTATTGAGCTTGTTTAATCCACAAACATTCATATAGACTAGTAAAGTCAGGAAATATTTGGTGTGAGGCAAGGAGATGCACTTTGGTCCTTGTACTCCAAATCACAGGAAAATGTGTTTTTAAGTAAAAAGGCATTGTGGGATAAGTATGAAACTTACACAAATTTAATATCATCATATAACTAATACCTATGCAAAGTTACATGCTTACACCCAATGCCTTTTATGTACAATCAGCGGATAAACAATGGAAATAGGCAGAACATTTAACGGTTAAAGCAGATACTTTCCTTGAGGCTAGGAGATTTAAGATTACCAGCATATCAAACTTCATATATTAAATCAATCATTTTTTAGTAGATGTGGTGGCAAATGCCATTTTTGATCTTTGATAAATAAAAAAACAAATCAGGACCTGGAACTCACTTCAGTCACAGGTGTTGATATATATACTATATAATACTAACAATTGATATCGTATACTTATAGCATATAACTGGTGTCCTGCACCTCTAAATTCAATTTTAAGATTGAGGAGAGATATTTGAAATAGCCAAGTTTGATATGTGTTTAGAAGACATAACTCCGTATAAAACAGAAGGAAAGTATGTTGTAAATATGCAATTTATGTAAGTCTACTTAGATGAGTAAAGTTGTAAATATGAAGTCAAAATATTATTTATAAAGTAATTATTGAAAATTAAAACACTTTTCATTTGGAAATTACCTAAAACAACACACTGTCTTTATCCTTCGTTTTATTTAAACAATCTTCTAAGTGTTTTCAAAAACAGAAAATGGTACTATTTTGGTTTTTAAGCTCATTTTGAAAACAGCAAACTATATTTGTGATTTACCCTACCCCATTTGGTAACCCCAGAAACCCACTTTCGGTCAAAGATTTACCTTTGTTTTCCCGTATGTCATACAATAGGACATCTTTGAACCAAAAAAAAAAGGGGGGGGGGCTGAATAAACCCGGGCCCAAAAAAGGGCCTAACAGACGCTCAACCTTTGAAATGTTTTTTTTATTAACAGCTTAATTATGTAAACTTTGTCCGAAATATCTTATCATTATTTGCCGTTAATATGTAGGGAACCAATATGAAAACGGATGGAAACTATCCGTCTTGAAGTCACATACCAGAATAAACAAGGTCTGTCAAGTTAGCAGGACAGTCGGTCCTTCCCCAGCGAACAAACGTGGCTCCCCCTTTATCTGAAAGGAAATGACTATATAGCAATTGGACTTTCGGAACTCAAAAAATATAAAATCAATAATACAAAAGTGTTTTGTGTGTTGTTTCTACATAAGGACAAGTATAATAAGAGCGTAGCTCTCGGGCGCCGAAGCTCTTTAATGGTAACACATGCGTGCGTAAACAGAGTTGCTTCCCCTTTCTACCCGTTGCCTTTAATTTTTTTCGTCCTGAAGTAGACGTCCAGTGGGGAAACAGAAAGTGCATCCTTGAAGCAAAGACAATTGTGTTTCAACCCATACATGAATATCTTCATATAGTGAAAGCAATCTTCAGGTTTTATACTTGTTTATTTAAATAAAAAATAATATACATTCCGAGTGAAAAAAGTCTATAACATAAAATGTGATACTAACAGGCATGAAACTTCGCCCAGAGATTATCATACCATGACGTCACAAGCATGTCACTATCCATCGGCCTGCATCGGTTATTTCCGGAAGGATGAAAAATAACCGGAAAATTCTGGAACTGATGTACGTTGCATTTATCTCTTTGTCGGTGCTTCAAGACTTTTTTTTTTATTCCATTTCCACAGGCACAAAAAGTAAAAATTCGGATATTTTCCGAAGATCTTTTTTGTCATCAACCCGGTTCTGTTGATATTTTAACCGGGATATACCTTAAAAAAGAGATCATTTAAAATTTCATCACCTTTTGATTTCCATATGTTGAGAATATGAACGAAATAATTAACATTTTTGAAAGTCTGGATATAGTCTTTACATTATTTATCCATCGCCACTCATAAAAGAAGCAGTGGAAAATGCATTTATGTCGAAATCAACCATAATTGTCCAGAAAACGAACCCGAGTTCAACGCCCTTTTTCAGCAACGTATCACTTTTTCACAACGCGTGCGGATTTATAACTAGTTACAGACAGAAACTGTAATTTTATTTGGCATCATTACCTGTCAAACCTCGATGACAGTTACAAATTTGATATTCAATCCGGTGTTTCAGGATGGAACAGTAATTGAGACTACATATCGATATAAAGAGAGTTTTAGTTACATCAAAGTATTACAATGATTTCTTTTTTTAATATCGTTTTTTAAACTAACATCTCTATACATTTACTTCAAATATGTAATATGCACATTGAAACGGAATTGCTACTTTTTTACAGTCAAACGTGTAACAAACTGACAGCTTCAAATGATAATACATAAAAGCCAAGCCAATCACTCACTACCATATAACTGCACGATAAGATTTTTTTGAAATATTAATTTGGGCCCGAACAGGTTCGACCAATAATACCGTAGCAAGGTCGGCTCATGTAGTAAACATATAAAAAGTCGTAAAATTGGCGGTAAAATCTGACGTTGCATGCTTTATGACGTCATAATTAAGCTGAGTCCAATGGGCTGAACTTACCCGAATGCCTGTCCGAACTTACCCCATGGCGGGGCTCGTTCGGCCATCCGATCTTCCGACAGGAAAAGTTATATAATGTTCAAAAACGGACGTGCTGCCATACTTCCTTGAACAAAAAGGGCCGAACTTGCCACGGTCTCCTATTATTATGTCGGTCTTAATCTCATTGGAGCTTGTGTTTTATTGTTATTCCTCGACTAGCCGAATTTAAATAAAGTTTATCTTATCTCATTCTGAAAGTTGTTTTCAGAATCAGTAAATAACAGAGATCAACAAAAGCTACGCTCTTTTAAGGCTTTGCTTTTTCATTTTATTACTTGGCATAATCGTAATTACACCAAAATGTCGTATAAACATAGAAACTATTTCAAACATATTCCCAGATAATACCCAATTAATATAATATATGTTTTCCTGTTAAAACCATAATAGATACAAATTACCATTCATTTATCCTTTGACGATAGATTTGATGGTTATGACTGATTTACTGCATGCTTGGTTTGTGAAATTGTAGTTTCCTATGTGTGTTCTTACATTTTTGAATTAGCTTTCTAATTTCATAAGACATTCATTATTGTTCACTAGATCTTATTGTAACATTTCGTTCGGGACACACTCATTGGCTATTTATATATATAACGGTGTCTGTAAAGCGTTTAGCATTTAGAATTGATATCAGAAATATTCATTAAAGAAATTTTGACGAAGCTTTCCTGGAGATGAGTCAAAATTAGTTGTGTTTAATAATTTCGTTCTGAATAGTTTTGCTTTTTGACGGGTCAAAGGTCAACGGCGATTTCGGTGTCAAAATCAGAAAAAAACTCGTACTTGTAATCCAGTATGAGCAGTTCTCGTCATTTCAAATTCATTCTAACAATTTGATGTTTATTGCGTTTGACCTTTTTAACGAACGATGACAACACCGCTTCGATCAATGCAGATATATAATATTATCTACCTTGATTGGCCTGATAGAGTCGTTGTTCCAGTGAAAATATTTTTCATTCTGTGTCTGTAGTTCAGCGTTCTGGTTCTGTAACTTAGCGTTCTGCGTCTGAACTGTTGCCCGTAGGGTCTGTAGTTCACTAGTTTGAGTCTGATCAGCGGTCTGTAGAGTCAGCAGTTTCCTAGATTGAGTCTGTACAGTTGCCCATAGGGTCTGTAGTTCACTAGTTTGAGTCTGATCAGTGGTCTGTAGAGTCAGCAGTTTACTAGATTGAGTCTGTACAGTTGCCCATAGGGTCTGTAGTTCACTAGTCTGTGTCTGTAGTTCAGCGTTATGTGTCTGTACTGTTGTCTGTAGGGTCTGTAGTTCACTAGTCTGTGTCTGTAGTTCAGCGTTATGTGTCTGTACTGTCGCCCGTAGGGTCTGTAGTTCACTAGTTTGAGTCTGAACAGTGGTCTGTAGAGTCTGTAGTTCACTAGTTTGAGTCTGATCAGTGGTCTGTAGAGTCTGTAGTTCACTAGTTTGAGTCTGATCAGTGGTCTGTAGAGTCTGTAGTTCACTAGTTTGAGTCTGATCAGTGGTCTGTAGAGTCTGTAGTTCACTAGTTTGAGTCTGATCAGTGGTCTGTAGAGTCTGTAGTTCACTAGTTTGAGTCTGATCAGTGGTCTGTAGAGTCTGTAGTTCACTAGTTTGAGTCTGATCAGTGGTCTGTAGAGTCTGTAGTTCACTAGTTTGAGTCTGATCAGTGGTCTGTAGAGTCTGTAGTTCACTAGTTTGAGTCTGATCAGTGGTCTGTAGGGTCTGTAGTTCACTAGTTTGAGTCTGATCAGTGGTCTGTAGAGTCTGTAGTTCACTAGTTTGAGTCTGATCAGTGGTCTGTAGGGTCTGTAGTTCACTAGTTTGAGTCTGATCAGTGGTCTGTAGAGTCTGTAGTTCACTAGTTTGAGTCTGATCAGTGGTCTGTAGGGTCTGCAGTTCACTAGTTTGAGTCTGATCAGTGGTCTGTAGGGTCTGCAGTTCACTAGTTTGAGTCTGATCAGTGGTCTGTAGGGTCTGCAGTTCACTAGTTTGAGTCTGATCAGTGGTCTGTAGGGTCTGCAGTTCACTAGTTTGAGTCTGATCAGTGGTCTGTAGGGTCTGCAGTTCACTAGTTTGAGTCTGATCAGTGGTCTGTAGGGTCTGCAGTTCACTAGTTTGAGTCTGATCAGTGGTCTGTAGGGTCTGCAGTTCACTAGTTTGAGTCTGATCAGTGGTCTGTAGGGTCTGCAGTTCACTAGTTTGAGTCTGATCAGTGGTCTGTAGGGTCTGCAGTTCACTAGTTTGAGTCTGATCAGTGGTCTGTAGGGTCTGCAGTTCACTAGTTTGAGTCTGATCAGTGGTCTGTAGGGTCTGCAGTTCACTAGTTTGAGTCTGATCAGTGGTCTGTAGAGTCTGTAGTTCACTAGTTTGAGTCTGATCAGTGGTCTGTAGGGTCTGCAGTTCACTAGTTTGAGTCTGATCAGTGGTCTGTAGGGTCTGCAGTTCACTAGTTTGAGTCTGATCAGTGGTCTGTAGAGTCTGTAGTTCACTAGTTTGAGTCTGATCAGTGGTCTGTAGGGTCTGCAGTTCACTAGTTTGAGTCTGATCAGTGGTCTGTAGGGTCTGCAGTTCACTAGTTTGAGTCTGATCAGTGGTCTGTAGAGTCTGTAGTTCACTAGTTTGAGTCTGATCAGTGGTCTGTAGGGTCTGCAGTTCACTAGTTTGAGTCTGATCAGTGGTCTGTAGGGTCTGCAGTTCACTAGTTTGAGTCTGATCAGTGGTCTGTAGAGTCTGTAGTTCACTAGTTTGAGTCTGATCAGTGGTCTGTAGGGTCTGCAGTTCACTAGTTTGAGTCTGATCAGTGGTCTGTAGGGTCTGCTGTTCACTAGTTTGAGTCTGATCAGTGGTCTGTAGAGTCTGTAGTTCACTAGTTTGAGTCTGATCAGTGGTCTGTAGAGTCTGTAGTTCACTAGTTTGAGTCTGATCAGTGGTCTGTAGGGTCTGCAGTTCTTCCTGGAGGTGGGTCATCTGGTCTTGGAAGTAGCTGGGGTCGTTCAGGAGAATCCTCTTGCTGTGGTCTTCAGAACCACTTACATAACACAACAAAACGAACGAGGTGGTAACCACCAAACGGACTAAAACATTAACGGACACCATTTTACGTCTGTACTGTCAGTAACCTACTGCACCTATGACCACTGCAATATCCACAAGAGGTTATCAGTAAATGTTCAAATGTCAAAATTTATCAAGAAAGGACAGGAAATACCTTACATAATTCGGTCACCGCTGCAAGTAGTTCAACTATAGAGTTTTCAATGTTTTTTAAGGGTTCGTATTCAATTAAACCTATTGCTGTATGGTGAAAATGAGTTTAATGAAGCAAGTATATATCGGAACCTTTCTATTCAGCTATTTCAAAATCACGACAGTGTTAAATGAAATGTCCATTACGGCAATTTCCGTTGAAGTATTCCTTTACATCCCAAAATTATATATCTTTACAAAACATCATTATTACATGATGATGGTTCGTCTTTAATTTATTTACTAGAGTTGTACAAAAAATAAGCGTCGAGTTATTCAATTATAAAGTAGAAAATACATGTCTTTCGTGAGTAAAGATTAATATTTGCTTTGCATACTCTCTTTGCTATGCATAGACAGTGCATTGGATGTTGTGAGAATATATCACGTTTTGGTCCCGTGTCCACTTCTGTGACGTCACCGATCTGTTTGTTATAATACTGGCTTTGAACATCACGAGCTTGTGTAAGAGGAATATAATCACTACATGTTAATAAAGCATTACTCGTATTAAAAATGTACATATAAGTTATGAATGTTTTAACATGCAATGTTATAAGAGACCGACCTGAGAGAAAACTCGTGCAGGTATACGTAGCATACGTTCCGGATTGGATCACCTGATATCACCTGTCATATATTATTTGAGGTGTATGGTGACTTTATTTTTGTTGTTCGCATCATGTGCAAACGATAACAGACTGAATTTAAAGGACGGTCATATAATATCGTAGCTTGATTTTAAGGTATGTTACGATACTATAGCTAGATCTGTAGATCTATCTACATTTATTTTTAAATTGCATTTTCGAGTTTATTGATAATGGACATAAATTAACAAGTATAACATCGGGCATGGTCCAATATAAATATGCAGGTAAACGCCTTGTATATGTACCTAGTGTATTTCTCGTCACTTACGTAAATGTCTGATGTGAAAATGTCTCAGATGTTGCATACAGAAGCTATATATCGACATAAACCCAATTTACAAACAGGTTAGATTTAATTGTTTACATAACTGTCATACAGTATCTCCGATTAACTCTCTGTGTCAGACACAGGCCCGGCAAAACCTTTGGTTACTCATTAACATGATATTTACCTGTTCTGTTACCTGTTAGTAAGACCACGATTTCTGACAACAACAACTATACAGTTTCTTTGATACTGTACATGTGTAACACGCATGGTGAAATTTGACATTATGCAAAATATAGCATACCTACAATGTACCTCATTTCATTATTCAAATATTGTCATTATGTAAAATTGGTCAACCAATGGTATCAAATCTACGGAAGAGAATTAGGGCCGTATAGAAAAACAATACATTTTGTTTTCTACGTGTTAATAACTCGAAAGTTTGACTTGTTAACTCGAAATGTCAAACAAATTGCACATAATGTCATTTTTTGAAATTATTAGTCAAAATAAAAAATGTCACTTTCTGAATAGTTCAAAGATTCTTAAAAGAATTTATAGAGCATGATGAGTGTAGTGGTACATCAGAAACATCATACATTGTACCCATTTATCAAATTTTTTTCGAAATTCGATATGTATTCAATCTCAATGTTTAACCAAAATTCGACGAACAATACCCGGAAAAAATGAGAAAGTATGTCCTATTGATTTCCGTATCACTGCAAAAATCGGTAACTAAGTTTTGGAAATTTTCTTCTTCTGGAGTGACTATAGTTTTGAAAAGAAGACCATACGTTTATGAGAAATAATTCAGATGAAATCAACTAAGCATAATCACAACAGTGTTTTGAGCGGCGCTAGACCGGGATTCGAACACTGTACTTTATATTGTTATACTGTCGCTCTGACCAATTGAGCTACCTGGTCAATGAAAGTATCCGTCCTGGCCCAACTTCGTTACAGTCATATCAAAACAGGAGTAAAGAGGAAGTTACAGTATATAAAAATAAAACACAGTGCAGTGGGACGGAGATTCTTAAATATATCTCTTCCTGAGGTGCCTCTGTAAAAGGATTTATAGATTAACTATCATTATTAAATTGATCTGTATGCCAACGCAAACTTAAGATTTTGCAATTTATGACCTTTTTTACTGTGGTACATTTAGGAAATGCACAATATTATTTTCTACATTGATTATCTCGAGCGCTCGATTTATTATTTGGAGCGATTGACATATTCTGTCAGACCAAGATTTCAGCATGGCTTTCAAATGTCTTACAATGACGTCGTTTTCTCATGACGTTAGGCTAAATGAGGGGAGGCTCGATTATTTTGGTGTTTTAACTTCATCTAGTTAAAGTGAAATGATTAATGCTATTCCCTTTTTTCCTATAAAGCCTGTTTTTTATGTCGTCTGGTGTGATTTATTACACTTTATCTAGTGATAAATCGAATTTAATCAACTTGATAAAAGTAATATCTTTCACACCAAGACCATTTTTTCCAGCAGAAAAACGGTAGCATTTGGTTACGTAGACCAATAGCAAGGTACTTTTGTTGTCAAGTTGATGTCCTGAAAATATGTTACCAAATATTACGCTATTACATCTCCACCTTTTTTCATGCGTTTTTGTCCTTACAGGTTAGTTTTTAAATGTGATTAATAGAAAATGTAATGTTTTTCCATTGAACACCATATAAATTTTACTCGTATGGCAGAAGATATCGATATTTCACTCGTGATTCGCAATATCGGTATTTAGCCATTAAACATCCATCCTGTCTGTGTGTTTTAGTCTATTGACGTGAGAATGTATGTTTTAGTCTGTTGACCTGAGAATGTGTGTTTTAGTCTGTTGTCGTGAGAATGTGGGTTTTAGTCTGTTGACATGAGAATGTGTGTTTTGGTGTATTTAATTAATTTGTCTCCTGAGTATATCTTTGACTTTGTAAATGAAAAGATGTCTGAGAAGGAACTAATGAAAGAAATTACCGCAGAGGTACCCATGGTAAACACTGTGAAGTATGGACAACATTCTTTAATTTTCGAAGCCGACCGGGCTCAGAACAGTCTCCCTAAGAAATTCCGGAGAATTGAAAAGTTCAAGGAGTTCAGGATGCTGGTCCACTCCTGGAATAGCCCCATCTGTCTTTGCAATATCTGCAAAAACTAGAAATTAATCTGCGTGTCTCTGATACCGAAGATGTTGGGTTGTTTTTTTTAATTTGTATAATGCTTTTATTTCATACTTTGCTTTCATTGATCTAATTTATACTGTTGCATCATTTCATTTATTCTCTATAATAATGTTTCAGTACATAATTAAATTTACACCATTGATATCAGTATCATCTTGTATATCTTTTTGATAAAATTGTGACTTTTCCCCCCGTTACATTTTTCAGAACTAATTCATACTACTGGTTTATATTTTGTCAAATTTTACTCTGTGCTATATTAGCTTTGTGTATGTTGTCCACTTAACAGTGGTTTATGCCCCTGCAATCATAACAAGCAAAACTCGGACAACAATATGAATGAAAATGGCCACCAGATTGGTGACATTGAATTTATTAATATCAATAGAGCCAGACTAGGGCTCTTAGCATAAAATCAATAATATATGGAAAATTATGTGAAAAATTGAATAACCCAGTAGCTGCCACCACACACGCATGGCAGCCACTACTACATACTATAACAGCTAGCCCAAGTGGGGTTGTCAAAAAACGCCAAACATTGGTCAATGGTGGGGTTGCCAAACCCATCTTTACATGAATACTGCGAGCCGGATGCCCCAACCCTGTTAATTAGGGGAGGTAGGTTTACCCAATGCTCTGACCAGTCGGCAAGTGTTGTCTCTCTTCAACATAAACTAGCAACAACCTGTCAGGTTACAAATTATATACATCTAATGATACACGGTACATAGTAATCTTGGACAATGTTATTCAACACTACATCTGAACAACCTAAGCTCCGTCAAATTAAAGAAACAAAATATTGACGACATAAAGGGTTGGAAGATGGGTTTAAACATTAACTATCCTGAGAGATTGATGAGCGTACAAATACAGTGGCTGCCTGATACGAGGATATGTCCCAGAGTGAGATAGCGTCACCTCTGATCCCCTGACCAATCAGTGACCAGCCCCAGAAACCCTGACGCTGTCATCGGCAGCCAATCATTGAACCGTTTGTTGTGCCAACAATTCAAGCTCCAAAATTTACATTTAAATAACAGTAAATCTACAAAACTTGTTATGACATTACGAACATAAATTAAGCTAATTGCTTAGCTGCCTTTTATGCTCCTGCACTCTTAACAAGCAAAACTAGGACAACAATATGAATGAAAATGGCCACCAGATTGGTGACATTGAATTTATTAATATCAATAGAGCCACACTGGGGTTGCCAAAAAACGCCACAAAGACCTTCATGAGGACTACTCATGAATCTCTTCCCCACTGAAGTTTGACTTTAGTCGTAAGTAATAAGTGTGTGATATGCAAGTGTTCACTTTCAATTTATGCCTTCTTTGAGTATCTTATTCTTTAAATTGCTTAGCTGTGACCGCATTTCATGCTGTTTTGGTTGTTATGAATTATATTTCCATATCAACACTGTCCTTATTATACAATTATGGACTTTTGTGCTGGTGAATATGATGTGATATGAACCTGAAAGAGTGATATCAACCGAGGCGAAGCCGAGGTCAATATCCACTTTTTCAGGTTCATATCACATCATATTCACCAGCATAAAAGTCCATAACTGTTTTATTATATGCTTCAACAATAAAATAATACAGAACAAAATTAAAGGTTCTGAATTTTGTAGGCAAGCCTCCGTGTAAAATTTAGCCAGGTTTTAATTCAACAGTTCAGCATCGTAACTTTCGTCTAGTTTTTTTTTTCTTAAGATAAGCATGGAGGACATGCACTGCGTGTTCAATGGCAATTTTTATGTAAGCAGCATCTTTATCCTCGAATAGTTTTGGAAATTTTCTGATGTAACGGAGGAGTAACGTTCGCCAACAGCCATCTTCTAATGTCGCTTGACAAATCGCGTTCCGGTCTAACTGCGCATGCGCTCCGACAGGTTCCGGGGAATTTCCATATAGGCTATATTTAAAAATCGATATTCACCGGATAACCAGTCTACATGAGTTTTTGAGGACTGGTCACGTGTGTATGATCCGACCAATGTGATTGCGAGAAATTATCATGCATATAATAATATTGTTTAATGTACCTAAAGTGTCATGACTTGGGACCTCTGTAGCTAGGGTTTTACTTAAAAATCTGAGATATGCTTCTTTTTTTCTTTAAATAGGATTTGAATCTGTTTATGAATACGTTGTATGTGGTTATCCTGTTTCATGTGGTATTATTATTGCTTTATTGTTTTCCATATATTTGTTTGTCACAATGATAGTTCATAAAACATAACGTTTCTTGTTCCTGTGTATGCGACTCTAAGTATAGTGTCTTGTATCTTGCTAGTCTGTTGACATAAGATTGTGTGGTTTTGTCATTTGACTTCAGAATAGTGTCTGTTGACATGATAATGCGTGGTTTAATTTGTTTTCTTCAGATTGGCTAGGTTTAGTCTGCTGTCCTTAGAAATGAAATAGTTATTTCATCATTTTAATTGTTATTCAATTTAATCTAGTTTTATGTATTGCATTAATTATCTTGTGAATAAATGATGAAATTCCAAGAGGAAAGAACTCTTATATAATTCTTCCTTTTTTTATTTATTATGACCATAAGCTGGCCAGGTTGCAAAATTAATTTTATTACAACCAACATTATTTCATGAAAACACTGAGCCAGATACATAACATATAACAATATGATTACCCTCAAATGGAGTTTTGATAATTAATATGACATTGTTTGATTTAATGAAGTTTCGACGGGCGTACATGTATTATGTTCCTGATAAATTGTACTCTTATTCATGCGTACAATTTAAACTTATTATGAAGTAAGTTGGAAGGCAAGATAATATGTCGAGCGCTCGAGATGATTAATGCAGAAAACATTTTTGAGCATGTCCTTAATGTACCACCGTAACATTTTAAAAAGACAAACAGACGGAAACATTTCTTATTGACTCTCTGAATTAGACCTTTATAAAGTAAAAATACATTTCTTCTTTTTAACAAAACGACAATAAGGGTATGCCTACCTATCATTTAAAAATGCATGAACAGAGAAAACTATATCTTACAAATAAAAACCCTGTATGGTTATTTGCAAGAATTTTTATTTAATTCTATTTCATACAAACAACACAAGAGAGATATTTATTCTGTTCGTACGGAGGGCATCTAAGGGAACCACACTGCGCTCTAACTGCGAAAAGCATAACACCATCATCATTGGTGTTAGCGCCGCCGTCCAATGGCTGGGCATTCTCGTCCACACACACGTACTGGGTAGCAGCTTTGTGAACATAGTACCCCGCCGCCAGTGATCCACTGTACGCCTTCGTCCAGCCGCTGTAGCAGGTCGTCCTCGCCGGTATCATCACAGAGGAGACAAAGGACGTGGATCTACACACCGCACAGGGAACCTCTTCATCGTTTGAATGTTGCCCGAATGGTGTTGCCGAATTGGGGGAACTGTATTCAGCGCCGTATATTCTTGAGGAATAGTCAATGCTGGGCAAATCTTTGTATGGTCCCCACACCGGATCTCGTGGTAAACAAACAGTGTCCGCCGCTCCGCCAGAATGATCATACCAGGATCCGCCTGTATAACCTGCAATGCGTTAAAACTTTAAAAAAAGATGAGACTCTTAGAAACTATATCGACATTGAAACAGGTGATTCATTTTGTGTTAAAAATGTTATATCAATTTAAATAACAAAATATTGCAAATCCAAACAGGGAATGATCGAAGATATTCTTCCAAAGTCACATACCGGAATAAACGAGCTCTGTCAAGTTAGCAGGACAGTCAATCCTTCACCAGCGTATAAACGTGGCTCCCCCTTGATCTAAAATAAAATAGTTTAAACGAAACTGAGACGTAAGAAACACTGCAAACATAAAGACACTTATTTTCCTACATAGTATTTGCTGAGTTAGAACTGATAATTTTCATCTGAACTAATTTTGTTAGCGCCGAAATATCATACAAAGGATAAAAGTCTGAAAACCCAATTCGCTTATGATAATCAAACAGATACAAAATAGAGTCCATAGTTCCATAATAACCATTTAATACTATGGCATAAACAAAACCAACAGAGCACTCTTATGAGCATCATCGAATACATCGTAAGCATATAACATATGTGTATATGCAAAATAATAGGAAAAATAGCCGGGCTTAGTAACTGGTCACGAATTTTACCGTTTAACGACGGCGAAAGGATTGAAGTTAAAGTTGTCATTTTAAAGGAAGTCATTGCAAACTGATTTTCCAGATAGAGCTAAATACTTAATTTAATTGATTAACGATGTAACGTTACTTTGCTGTTTAATTTTGTGTTAATTTGTTTCTAAAATCAGCTAAAATTATCTTAGCTTAGCTTCCATTCTGTATCATAAAGTGGTAACTAGATGCTTATAACAAAATGGGCTGTACATAAGGTAATTAATCATAAAAAATGGAACCATTTAATAACATGAAAAATAGTGGGTATGAACAGGAAGCAGCACCTTGGTCAAAGGAATATCAGGTCATGGATGACATCGTGATAGGAACGAGGGTGTAAACTCCTCAAAACAGACAGTTTTATGGTATTGTTGTTTCGGAAGGAGAAAGTAAGCTTAGGCGTTACATTTGAAATCAAATTGCTGCACGTGCCTCATCAGTTACAGATGTAAGTACAATAGCAGACGGTGTGTTTTAGAACTATATGTTTGATGTTGTAACTCTATATAATCTGTGCGCACGTAGAGCCCCTGTCGTGTTCAAGAACTATGTTAAAAGGACATTAGCCTTAATATAAGAGAGATTTTGGGGAGAGAGCCTCGGGTATGTCCCTTGATTGTCGAGGACACAATGTGTAGAAGTAATAAAAAGTGTACAGTTGTAATTTAATGTTCCTTATGCTTTATCCTTTAAAATTTCTTAACATAACAAATAGTGATAATAATGCATGGACCAATACAAAATATTAATACTATTTACCTTGATTGGCATTTGAGAGTTGTTGTTCTAGGGAAGAGATTTTTCCATTCTGTGTCTGAAGTATAACATTCTGTGTCTGCACTGTTGCTTGTAGAGTCTGTAATTCTGCCTGAAGGTGGGTCATCTGGTCGTTGAAGTAATTCGGGTCACTCAGGAGAATTCTCTTGTTGGGGTCTTCAGCACAACTTACATAATACAATAAAACATACGAGATGATAACCATCAAACGGACTAAAACACTAACGGTCACCATTTTACGTCTGTCCTGTCAGTAAATTACAGCACGTATGACAACTGTAATATTCACAAGAGTTTATCAGTAAGTGTTCAGATGTCAAAATGTATCAAGGAAGGACAGGAAATGCTTTACATAATTCGGTCACCGCGACAAGTAGGTCAACTATACAGTTTTAAGGTCATAGGAGTGTATTGATAAGCGAAATAGGAAGTTCATCCCTAGTTGAAAATCCAATGTAGGGAGACATTATCACAATTTCCGCATATTCTAATGTTTAATATTAAACTGATGAATATTGTTTGTTGTTTATTGACAGAACAGTGTGTTCTTTCAATATTAAAGTATTTCAAAGCAATCCAGGCATTAATTCAGTGTCTGTAACGTGATCTGTATGGTCTGCAGTACACTAGGTTGTGTCTGTAACGTGATCTGTATGGTCTGCAGTACACTAGGCTGTGTCTGTAACGTGATCTGTATGGTCTGCAGTACACTAGGCTGTGTCTGTAACGTGATCTGTATGGTCTGCAGTACACTAGGCTGTGTCTGTAACGTGATCTGTATGGTCTGCAGTACACTAGGCTGTGTCTGTAACGTGATCTGTATGGTCTGCAGTACACTAGGCTGTGTCTGTAACGTGATCTGTATGGTCTGCAGTACACTAGGCTGTGTCTGTAACGTAGCCTGTATGGTCTGCAGTACACTAGGCTATGTCTGTAACGTGATCTGTATGGTCTGCAGTACACTAGGCTGTGTCTGTAACGTGGCCTGTATGGTCTGCAGTACACTAGGCTGTGTCTGTAACGTGACCTGTATGGTCTGCAGTACACTAGGCTGTGTCTGTTACGTGGCCTGTATGGTCTGCAGTACACTAGGCTGTGTCTGTTACGTGGCCTGTATGGTCTGCAGTACACTAGGCTGTGTCTGTTACGTGGCCTGTATGGTCTGCAGTACACTAGGCTGTGTCTGTAACGTGGCCTGTATGGTCTGCAGTACACTAGGCTGTGTCTGTAACGTGACCTGTATGGTCTGCAGTACACTAGGCTGTGTCTGTTACGTGGCCTGTATGGTCTGCAGTACACTAGGCTGTGTCTGTTACGTGGCCTGTATGGTCTGCAGTACACTAGGCTGTGTCTGTTACGTGGCCTGTATGGTCTGCAGTACACTAGGCTGTGTCTGTTACGTGGCCTGTATGGTCTGCAGTACACTAGGCTGTGTCTGTTACGTGGCCTGTATGGTCTGCAGTACACTAGGCTGTGTCTGTAACGTGGCCTGTATGGTCTGCAGTACACTAGGCTGTGTCTGTAACGTGGCCTGTATGGTCTGCAGTACACTAGGCTGTGTCTGTAACGTGGCCTGTATGGTCTGTAGTTCATTTGTTTGAGTCTGAACAGTGGTCTGTAGGGTCTGCATTTCTGCCTGGGGATGGGTCATCTGGTCTTGGAAGTAGCCAGGGTCATTCAGGAGAATCCTCTTGTCGGGGTCTTCAGAACAACTTACATAACAAAACAAACCAGGTGATAACCACCCAACGGAATAGCACATAGAACGTATGACCACTTTAATATTCACAAGAGTTTATCAGTAAATGTTCAAATGTCCAAATGAATCAAGGAAATATGGCAAGTCAAGTTGTCATGACAAGGAAGGACAGGAAATGCCTTACATAATTCGGTCACCAAGACAAGTAGTTCAACTATCGAGTTTAACATGATTTTCAAGGGTTCATATGCAAGTTAAATCTAGTGTTGCATGGTGAGAAAGTATATAATTCATTTAGCTATGTCAAAACAAAGACAATGTTTAAATGAAATGTTCATTAAAGTATGTCCCGTTGAAGTATTCCTTTACATAACAAATATACATATATCCTTATAAAACAATATAATTACATGATGTTGTGACCATTTTAACATTATTTCTACAGTTGTTTTCTGTACATATGTGCAAGAAGATCAATGTTTTCATCTTAATAATAACATGAGCAGCTTAACTACAAAAAAAAACAATTATACGATGCGCGGACAGGTTGTGAACGATGTGCGCACCATGTGTAAACGATAACAAAATAAAGTTAGAGCCTACGCACGTCTGTGCGCTTAATGGACGATCATGAAACATATGGACTTGATTTGATGCTACGATATTGTAGAAGCTAGGTTTTAATATATATCTATCTATATGTATGTATGTATATCTACCTATATTAATATTTAAAATTTTGTTTTTGCGTTTATTGATAATTGACATACATTGACAAGTATAACATTTGGCATGGTCCCATACACATATGCAAGTAAACGCTTGGTACATAATATACCTAGGGAATTTCTCGTCACTTACGTTACTAACCGATGTGAAAATGCCTCAGATGTCTACAACAAAAGCTATATATATTGACAAAAATGCAATTAACAATACAATTATACAGTATCTCCTATCAACTCTCTGTGTCAGGGACAGGCCGGGCACAACTTTGATCACTCATCAACATGTTATTTATTGTTATGTTACCTGTTACATTGTAGTCAAGCCCCGATTGCTGACAGTTTACAGGTGTTGTTATACTGTACATGTGTAACAAGCATTGTAAAATTGGCATTCTGTAAAATCTATCAACATATTATATCAAATCTACGGAAGAGCATTAGGGTCATATAGAAAAGAAACCAATAAATTTAGTTTTTTACATGTTATTAACTCGAAATTTTGACTTCCTAACTCGAACTGTCAAATAAATTGCACATGGTGTCATAATAACAAATGTAACTCTTACGAATAGTTCAAATATTATAAATAGAAAAGAATTACAGCACGATGAGTGTAGTTTTTTTAAGTGGTATATCAGAAACATTACATCATTGGGATTATACACATTCAGTGACTTTAAAAAAAAAATTAAGGGAAAATCACCTGCTACATGTACTTCTGCAAACTATTTATTACAACATTATAGAAAGATAGATCTGTATTTAGTCTAAATGTTGACACAAAATGCAGCAAACCAGACCATGAAACTGGGGAACTATCAGCCGTATTCTAGAATGTATCATCTGTTAACAAATTGTTGGAAACTTGGTTTTTCCGGCATGGTTATAGTTTTGATAAATCATTTCTGAAAAGAAAAACATGCATCGCGGGACGTTTATGAAAAATATGGGCGCAAATATCAGCAGGGCTAGACCGGGATTCGAACATTGGACTTCAGATTGTCATATTATCGCAATAACCAATTGAGCTAGCTGGTCAACATAATTGGTCCAACTATGCTACAGGTACATGTATATCCAAACGGGAGTAAAAGGGAAGTGACTGTTTATACGAAAACCACAGTGTAGTGGTACAGAGATTCTTAAATATGCATCTTCCTAATGTAACTCTTAAAAGATATAATTGAAGCAATAAAAAGATTTTATTATATATTAACTATTAACATACAATTGATATTCATGACAAAGACAGATTAATATTTTGCAAATTGCGACTATTATATGCAAATTTAAGAAATGTCAAAAACTTTAAAAGTAAAATGGTTATAGACATTTAAAAAAGCAAGTACATTATGACCTTGCACAGATACGAATCAGATAGCATAGATCATTTTTGGGTAATCAAAGATAAAAGACAAAGAGATGAAATTATTTCTTATTGTCTCCTTTAGATACTTTTTCTACTCGTGCAAATCATGAATACAGGTCTGAACTACGACTTGTGAAAGTAAAAATATATTAGCTTTTATAACAAAACGAAAACATGGGTCTGCCTACCTATCATTTATGCAGGAGCAGGTGGTCCTCGTGACGGTAAATCATTTTAAAAAAAAGTATTTAACAGATAAAAATCCTTAGTGGTTATTTACATCAATTTTATTTGATTTTATTTCATACAAACAACACAAGAGAGATATTTATCCTGCTCGTACGGAGGACATCGAAGGGAACCACACTGCGCCTTAACCGCAAGAAATAACGTACCATCATCATTGGTGTCAGCCCCTCGATCCAATAGCTGGGCATGCTCGTCTACACACACGTACTCGGAAGCAGCTGTTTGTATAAAGTACCCTGCCGCAAGTGACCCACTGTACGCCTTCGTCCAGCCGCTGTAGCATGTCGTTCTCGCCGGAATCATCACGGAGGAAACAAAGGACGTGTATCTACAAACCGCACAGGGAACCTCTTCATCGTGTGAATTCAGTCCAAATGGTGTTGCCGTATTATCAGCATTGTATTCCGCGCCGTACATTAATGCAGTATAGTCAGTATTATGCATATTCTTGTATGGTCCCCACACCGGATCCCGTGGTAAACAAACATGGTTTGCCGCCGCACCAGTGTGAGCATACCAGGTGCCGCCTGCATATCCTACAGGGTGTTGAAAGACAAAATAACACAAGTCATTAATTCCTTTGCTGATCTTATTTAAAAAATAATCATTTAACAAGTTGCTCTGATTTTAGAAATATTTTTTTGTTAACAGTGAAACGAAGTCCGGAATATTTTTTTTCAATTTGCCGTCAAAATATTGGGAATCCGAAAGGAAAACAAAATGTATTCGTTTCGAAGTGACAAACCGGAATAAACAAGGTCTGTTAAGTTTGCAGGACAGTCGATCCTTCCCCAGCGAATAAACGTGGCTCCCCCTTTATCTGAAAGGAAATGGTTATATAGAAATTAGACTTTTGGAACTCAAGAAATATAGAATCAACAATACACAAATGTTGATGTTGTTTTTTCTACAAGTATAATCTTACTTGGCATAATCATAATTACACCAAAATATCGTATAAACATACAAACTATTTAAAATATATTCCCAGATAATACCCAATAAATATAATATAAGTTTTCCTGTTAAAACCATAATATTTACAAATTACCTTTCATTTATCCTTTGACGATATATTTGATGGTTATAACTGATTTACTGCATGCTTGGTTAGATTCACTTTTGTTAATTGTACGACACTAGATTGTATATGACGTTTTGTTTATTTTATGACTGTTGCTAGGATAGGTAACAATGGTTAGTGCATGTCGATAACGTGGTTGTTATGTTTTGTTTATTGTTTGATAACAGTTTGAATGTAACCGTTAGATTATTGTGTAACTTAAGCTTGAAAATGAGAATATTTCTGACGACAGTATATAGTTTAGCAGGTTTTATGATCTATGATATATGATACTGACACAATTGTCCCTTAGATACATCCGTATCTGAATTTCACCCAGTGATTACGAATTTGTGTAGGTGCAGCTTCCTATGTATTTGATTACATATATGAATTAGCTTTGTTTCATTAGACATCCTCTGTGGTCCACTAGATCTTATTGTTTGTTCGGGACACACTCCTTGGCTATATATATAACATTGTCTGTAAAGAGTTTAGCATCTGCAATCAGAAATATTCATTAAAGAAATTTGGAGGAAGCTTCTCCTGGAGATGAATCAACATCAGTTTTGTTTCAATGTTGTCCTGAATACTTTTGCTTTTTGAAGAGTCAAAGGTCAAAGGTAACTTAGTTGTCTTAAGGGTGTCAAAATCATATTAAAATGTAAAATAACGTGTACTTGTAATCCAGTATGAGCAGTTCTCGTCGTTTCGAATTCATTATAACAATTTAATGATTATTGCGTTAGATCTTTAGAGATCCAAAGTAAGTAATAATTTCGTTCTGAATAATTTTGCTTTTTGACGGGTCAAAGGTCAAAGGCAATTCCATTGTCCTAACTAGTGCATAAGTGTCAAAATCATAAAATAACTTGTACTTGTATTCCAGTATGAGCAGTTCAAATTCATTCTAACAATAAAATGTTTATTGCGTTTGACCTTTTTAGATCCAAAGTAAGTTTTTTGATAAAACAAACAACGACAACAACGCTTTGATCAATGCATATATATAATATTATCTACCTTGACTGGCCTGATAGAGTCGTTGTTCCAGTGAAGATATTTTTCCATTCTGTGTCTGTAGTTCAGCATTCTGGTTCTGCAACTTAGCGTTCTGCGTCTGAACTGTTGCCCGTAGGGTATGAAGTTCACTAGTCTGTGTCTGAACAGTGGTCTGTAGAGTCTGTAGCTCACTAGTTTGAGCCTGAACAGTGGTCTGTAGAGTCTGTAGCTCACTAGTTTGAGCCTGAACAGTGGTCTGTAGAGTCTGTAACTCACTAGTCTGTGTCTGAACAGTGATCTGTAGGGTCTGTAGCTCACTAGTTTGAGCCTGAACAGTGGTCTGTAGAGTCTGTAGCTCACTAGTCTGTGTCTGAACAGTGGTCTGTAGGGTCTGTAGCTCACTAGTCTGTGTCTGAACAGTGATCTGTAGGGTCTGTAGCTCACTAGTTTGAGCCTGAACAGTGATCTGTAGGGTCTGTAGCTCACTAGTTTGAGCCTGAACAGTGATCTGTAGGGTCTGTAGCTCTGCCTAGAGGTGGGTCATCTGGTCTTGGAAGTAACTGGGGTCGTTCAGGAGAATCCTTTTGTGGAGGTCTTCAGAACCACTTACATAACACAACAAAACGAACGAGATGGTAACTACCAAACAGACTAAAACACTAACAGACACCATTTTACGTCTGTCCTGTCAGTAACTCACTGCACCTATGACCACTGCAATACTCACAAAGGTTATCAGTAAATGTTCAAATGTCAAAATGTATCAAGGAAGGACACGAAATGCCTTACATAATTCGGTCACTGCGACAAGTAGTTCAATTATACAGCTTTAAATGCTTTTTAAGGGTTTGTATTCAAATGAAACATATTGCTGTATGGTGAGAATGGGTTTAATGTAGCAAGTACAGTCACTGGCCATAAGTATTGGCGCATATCGGCGACGTCATATTTGTTTATGCTAAGATCTTATAAAGGAGGGAATATTTAAAAGTGGAATATCTCAAAAAATTAAAAGAGGTACTTACATGAAATTTTCAGTACTTTGTTATCTGTCCCCTAGCTCTAGTTACACTTCGTAATCTCTTTGGTAGTGAATTATATAGGTTCCGAATATAGCACAAAGGCAAACTTGACCATATATCGTTCACAACTCTGATCATATCTGCTCTGTTTTTAACCTCTCCCAAACGTTTCAAAAGACGGGTTTTTATTGTTTTCCAAACATTTTCAATCACATTGAGATCTTTGTTATCTGTCCCCTAGCTCTAATTGCGAAATGTCTCGCGACCACAGGCCATAAAGTTTCATCTAAAACGGAAATATATACTTGGTATCCAAATTTAAAGAGTCTTCTTTTAACAATTCTTGATGACAAATTAACTATTGCGTCATTATTTTAAAGTGTTGTTACATCATTTAAAGTTACACTCCTATTGTTTTTTTACAATTCGAGTGATACTACGATCAGACCTGTCAGACGATTTTCTGAACCGCCCACTTCTTGGTAAATTTTCGACTCTTTCCCTTTCACAAAATCGCTTCAAAAAATTCTTTACGGTTCTTGCTTTAAGTTCTAACAACCCTGCATTTTTTCGAGCCGAAACATCACTGTTAGACAACTTTACAATGTCTTCTTTAACGGCTGGGGTTAATTCACGGCTTTTTGGAGCCATTGACGGGCAGACGACAATATAAACACATAGGAAGGGGAATAACTCTTTTTGATTGTATACGCAATTTCCTACATCCTACACATTGTTCCGGTACTGGTTTTGTGAGAATACGTGTTATTTGGGCAAAGATACAGCTGAAAACGATAGGAATACATTTTATTCACTTAATGACGTCGCCATTATGCGCCAGTACTTATGGCCAGTGACTGTATATATCAAAACTTTTCTTTGCAGTTATTTTAACACAAAGACAGTGTTAAAAGAAATGTCCATTAAGGTGTAATCCATTGAACTATTCCTTTACATCAAAAAAGGATATATCATTAAAAAACATTGTTATTACATGATGCTGTTACCTTTTCAATATATTCACTACAGTTGTTTGCCGTATGTATGCGGAAGTGTTTTTTTTTATTATAAATATTACAAAAAATTAAGCGGTGAGTATTCAAATTATAAAGCAAAAAATACATCATGACGTCAGAAACAATTTTGCTTCTCGAATATTAACTTGAATTCCCTGCTTGGCACAACACCAGCTTCTCTGCTGGTGGAGTTTACACGTTACAGTTGATCCTCTATCTGAGAGTTTTGTCCAAGTATAAGTTTATTCCTGAATATATGTGTTACCCTCATAAATAGAACAGTCACTGACTTTAATGGAGTCGCTATGACATTCATTTGTGAAATATGCATGTCTTTCCCGATTAGATATTAACATTTACTCGGCTTCCTTGCTTAACACTGTATAGACACTAAGGTACGTGTTGTAAGACAGACAAATACTGCGCTAATAAACACTGAAATATTCACAAGAGGTTCATTAAGTTTTTCTTGTGTCGCCATTATATTATAGTTTGGATTAGAACGTCCTTCGTAATAGATATCAATATTTGCTCCACATCCTCTCTTTATCATGTATAGACGATGCAATACACGTTGTGAGAGGATAGCAGGATTTGGTCATGTGGCCACTATTGTGAAGTGACCGATCTGATTGTAACAATATTGAGTTTGTGGCGATCTCAAGCATTATGATTTAAGGGGGGGGGGGGGGGGGGGGGGTCGAGTTTATTGAAATGTAAATTGTAAATACAGGAATGGAAAATTGTTTTATCTATATTATCTATTTATATTTTTAAATTGTGTTTGCATGTTTATTGATAATGGAAATAAATTGTCAGGTACAACTTTGGGCATAATCCAATGTACTTTTTGCAAGCTAACATTGTCGCCCTGTACATGTACATGTCTCTAGCGGATTTCTAGTTACTTACGTACCTGTCCGATGTAAAAATGTTTCATGTGTCTCACGCATTAGCTAGAGATCTACAAAAACCCAATAAGTAAATAGGTAAGAAGCAAAGTTAAAATGCAATAAGTAAATAGGTAAGAAGCAAAGTTAAAACGCAATAAGTAAATAGGTAAGAAGCAAAGTTAAATTCGACAGTTATTCGTTATTTGTTATTCGGAATAACGAATAGGGAGTGACACCGAGAGTATTCACACCGAGTTTAATTACAATTTAAATAGGCATCCACCCCGGGCCAGGATCACTTACATAGAATTTGAACGAAATTTAATATTTTGACAACTATCTAGATTGGAATCCCAGGGAGTCAAGAACCCGTATCCGTAAATTTTAAACTTGAGCAAGTTGGTGGTACTATGCAGATTACTGCGTACACTAAGTCTACTAAGTGGATAAAAAAGAACTATTCTAAAGAAGACATTTCTCCTGAAACTATAAAACGGCCATACATACCTACCACCTTAGATTTTTTTTCAAACACAAAAAGGGAGTAAAATATTTGTATAACTGTTTGTGTCAAAATAACACAACATCTACTGGGAAAAGGAAATGGGAAGCAATGTTTGATTTTGATGAACAAATATGGAGAAAAATATACTTAACACCATTCAAAATTTGTAAAAATACAAAATTACAATGGCTTCAACTTAGAATAAATCAATATATTCTAACTACAAATTCATATCTTTATAAAATAGGCCTTGTCGATAGTCCACTCTGCAGTCCTTGTAATACTGAGAATGAAATGATAGTTCATACATGATGGGAATGTGAAAAAGTACAGTTGTTTTTGACAAGTTTTGAATTTTTGTTAGATTTATGATTCATTTCCTTTACTTTCAACAAAGAGTCTTTTATCTGTGGATTTGATGAGGGAAAAAACAATGTTGACAACTTAATTATTTTAGTTATGAAGCAATATTTGTATAACACAAGATGCCAGGAAAAGAGCATGTCTTTATCAGCTTTGAAAACCCTTATTAAAGAAACATATCACACTTAGAAATATATAGCTACTGGTAAAGGGGAAAATTATCTTACCATCTTTAAGAATGAATGGAAAAACTGAAAAAGATTACTGGTCTCTACACAAAATATAGAAATACTTAGATGTTTCATTCTCTGTAAAAAATTATAAGAGATATGCGATTTCCATGTCTGTCCTCTGCATAGACATGTTTGCCTGGTGATCACTTCCTATATTGTAACTGATATCCTAACTTGGTTAACTTTTTGAATATGATAGGAAGTTGTGTTTTTTTTCTGTAAGAGTTATCGCCCTTTGTTATCTCGTTGCTTCAGTCTTGCTTGATTTTGCTCTCAACAAAACTTGGAATATTCTGCTATTATGACTTGTAGTCTCTTAAGTAGCATTGTTCCTTATTGAAAATTTTCTCAAGTATTTTCATACAAGAATCTATGTCTGGAATGTGGTGTACTTTGCCTTAACATGGTTCAGAATCATATACTATGATTCATTCTCAAGTTGGGCGAATCTTGGTATGATTGACTATCAATGCCATATTTGTATATCCTCTATAGTGATATCTATATTCTACAAATATTTACAATATATAGGTGTATGGAAATATAGTTGATACAAAAACTGGTCAAAGTCCCTGGCAATATTAATATGAATATAATATTATAATAAAAATAACAATAATGAGAGACTTTACTCATGAACGAGTTATTTCCTTTAATAAATACATCAAAGTCCTTTGTCATGTCAGTATGTACCCTTTTCCTCTCTTATTCAAGTTCTCTTTCTCTATGTTGATTCAATTTTTCCTTTAATTCTTCTATCTCTCATTCTTTTCTTTCTTAAAATCAGTACATATCACAATTATATGCAGTTACCCTATTAACTACATAGAACATAAAAAAATATGTATCTTTAATATTGTGTTGAATATTTGCTAATGACTAGAAATGGAATGAGTGTGTGTATGTTGTATGGAAAAATGAATTGTTAATGTATGATGTACTGTTAAAAAATCTTCAAAAATAAAAGAAATTAAAAAAAAAGTCTTATGGATAATCTACGGATATACAATGTACGAAAAATTGGGGGTGTTATATCAAGCGTTCTTTGGCGTAGAAGATCTAATACTAATACAATGCTCTTCTTCATTCTCCATCTTGGCCTATACCTATATCAGTCAACACAAAGACTAGTTTCGGCTGTCTCGGTCAAACTAAGGAAGGCCAAAACATGTGTAGTGTTTTTAATACCCAGAGTACTTCAGACTCGTCTGATTCAGCTTCTCATCTTTACATTGATGACAATTCTGGTCATCGTACTCTATCACACATTTGATTATTTCAATTCAACAAGTGTCCAGTTTACTCCCATTCATGTATAAGTTATATCTTAGCCTCCCATGGTTGAAGAGTTAATATGTCACGGTTGATTTACTGTTCCAGAGTTTCTGCTCTACATGTTTTGGATGTTTTACATATATTATTGTTGTAATTTGATTGTCAGATGTTTCCACATTATATTTTTAATCTCCGTTTTACAAAATTTCACAGTCGTTATCAAGACCTAGGTTCAATGTCAACCACGATCACAAACTTATTATCTCTATCACCGTTAGCGGCCGACATACTTTTTTTCTAGATTGGACGGGATCCATCGTGACAGTAGCCACCTGTCTTTTAGGAAAATTCCCTTTATTGAATGCCTGATTGAGGGGATTCAGAGTTTCCGTTTGATTAAGCGTCTCCTCAATTTCTGTTGAATCTTTCAAAAACCGATTTTGAGATTTTGTACTTGAATATTTACTTTTTCAACGTTTGTGCTTTTATAACTATGTAATTATATTGATGTTACATGTTATGTGTACCAAAGTGTCAAAAGGTGCTTAGTTCATTAAAGCATTTAACTGTTTCAATTGTCATTTATAGGCAATAGGAATGCCAACTTGGCAGAGACTAGACTATCTCTTGTGGTATGATAGACAAACATCTTATAATGCGTGCTTAATGTTTTGTGTTTGTTATAAGAATATATAATATGTAAACAAATGGGTTTTTTTCTGATTGATAACTGATTTGTATTTTTCAATTATGATATGTCATATTAGTTGTAATACATGTGTATAAGTACCGAGTGTTCTTGAGTCCTACTATCTAGATCTCGAGTCCGACCGTTCCTGAACTGGAATAAGATGCTAATTGCTATGTTATGTTTACCAATTAGGGGTGTTCGCTGAAATGTGCTATTTACGATAAAAACGATGTTTAGTGATATACTTCATCTGCGTTTATGTGATATTCACTTTGTTAACGGCTAGTAAATAACATGCTGTTGGATATATTTCCATACTTTAGTAACAACACTGACTGGTTTGGTGTAGGGTATCTTCGTCCCTACGGCACAGCTAAAACAATTCTTAACATCTCTTTATTGGTCTTTTTTACCTTCGTTTCAACTTTGTTGAAATATACACTGGAATCATTTTACATGTATGTAAATAGTAGTCATGTATCACATTTTGATTTCATTATCCACGAACTAAAGAGTAATTAAATGATTAAACAATTTTAATGTCATGAAATTTTATTAAAGTAACAAAACAAAAACATTACATAATATGAATTTGAGCGAAGTGCCTTTACTTCTCCTCAAGAGAGGATTCAATATCTCATTTCACATGGTGCAATGAATGAAAGGACATTCTAATACTTCCATTACAAGACTAAGATTTACTGATTCGTGTCTGATCATTCTTTATTTTCATTTTCTTCCTTGCGACACTTCAGCTGTTACGCGGACAAGCATTTTTATAAAACCCATGCTGCAACATCTTGTAATGCCTATCTATGCAACATGCTGATAATGAAACAAAGTGTGTGGGCATTCGGCTTCAAGTAAATCAGCATACTTCATTTAATGAATCATCAGCACGTCAGACCTTCTTTTCATTCATGACCGTTTCTGTTTAGTCGTTGCAGCACATAAATCTACCGCGCATTTTACCATTGGCAATATTTCTGGACTTCTGAAATTAAGCAAACTCATTTGCATAAGTTTCGGTTAAAAATGATAAAAAAAACCAATAAACATTCTGAAGACACATCTGAAAATTGTTCGAACCAGATCAGGATATCTGTTCCAATATTTTTATTCTATCCTTGAGATTTCGTTAGTACAAAGTATAAATAAATCAAAATGCTTTATGAAAATATACTGTTTGTATCAATTTTGCAACCCGTTTATTTATATCATAAATAGTACAGAACGATATTTTTATATATCTTTTTATGTTCATTTACAATACATTATAATGTATTACCGATGGACGATGTGAGAGATTTCTATAATCGTGTAATCTCCAGGTAAGGGTCATTTTGATCTATGGAGTCCTGAAAAAAAAATGGCGCTATCAACAATGTAAAGCTGTTAGTTAGAATTACACAGTTATTAAAATAAGATTTCTGCTGGTATTTCGAAGTATTGAAAGGTATCTTTGTTTTGTAGTTCATTATCAACTGATGAAACAAAAATGTTCTAAATATTACATAAATGACACAAGCGAAACAAATGCAAAGTGAGAAATATAAAAAAAACACGTTTTGCTCTTTGCCAGGGCCCGTGATAAAAAGCCGTGGAACAACGTTCACCTGTCATGCTATTTTTGCGATTTAATCAAGGTCAGTAAAGTTTATCAACGCTTATTGTGAATTATCTTGTTTTGAGAAAACATCTATACTATATACATGTACACACAAATATAAATTGCATGGCCACATAAAGATCAGTAGCAACTCAATCGAATCTAGAAGCTTGAACTTGCTAAACGGACTGTATATATATCCGACAGTTACTTGCTATTCAATCATTTTTAATTTATAACAACATGAAAAGAATTACAGAAAAGCTTGAAAATAACGAAAAGAAAAGGGGATCTTACCATCAAAATGATATACTTTTTACTTGGAGGTGTTATTTTAACACACGCACCATCAGTTTATTAAGGACAATATACAGGTCAGTGAAAAATGTTTTTTTGGAATATACCAGTACTCATCAAATACATATAAATTACTAGCAGGGAAATGTGATCGTATGGTGATATGAGTGGAATTGAAAAACTTTCTAGGGGCATTCCAACAAAAACACACTCTTAAATTGCAGTGGTAAACTACAAATACATATGAACATTTTTTTTTATTGCAATTAAGTTTCATTTAAATAGATAATGTTCATTATGATACCGCCTTGTATATATCACAAATAAGTATAGCATTAAGCTTTGAATTAAGGGTGCTTACCTCCATTAAAACGGTCTTGGGTTTACTCATTTCCTTCATCATTAAAATTTGTTGTTCGGAAATTGCACTTAGCATTTTTAAGGTATTTTTATAAACCTCTTCCATGTTCCCCTACAAGATAGATATGCATTTATGTATAATATAAATACATATAACATCACCGAAACAAAAGATGAAAATTGAAATCGAATTCAATACAAAACGACACCAATAAAGAGAAAACTAAATCTCTAGAATGGTAAACGATTTATACCTGACAGAATTACATGTTTGCGTGTGTGCACATATGCGTACTACATATATGTATACAGTACATGCACACTGTTGACTGTTTTGACTAGTTTATCACCCTGAATCCCCTTCCCTTGAATTCTCTTCTCATCCTCTCTCCTTCTCAGGGTAATTGTATGTGTGTTAGATTTCGTTTGGAAAAATATCTATTAAGTATTAAATAAAGTTATTAGAATGGTATTTCATTTTATTAACAAAATTGCTGAAATCTTCAATAATATTCACAGTTTGGAAATATGTGATATCAAAGTTTTGCTTTTCACACAAACAATGTACGTATTAAACGTGTCGCAACGTTTCAAGACCGACTGATCCTTTTGTTAAGCTATGACTGATTGCAATCATATCATCATATCGTAATATCATTATCAAAATTGCTGAAAATTTATAAAAAAAAAAAATATCTGGGTGGAAAGAAGAAAAAGAAGAAGAGAAAACATTACATAACATTCATTCTGAAAAAGGGACTATGATTGTACACAGTCCTTAAGTGACACACACATTTGTTTATATCGTATACATATTGAAAACAGCGTGACATTTAACCATCCCGAGAAGTGTTTCTTTGGAATACGAGTTTTGAAGGCTTTGTGGATACCTCTATTGGGTATCTTTATAGAGTTGCAAGTAAAACAGTAATTATAAATAGTTCGGTTTTACCGACAATTTTTGAAAGTGTATTATTTCAAATATCACGCTATTCTACAAAACGAATATCTCACTTGAAAAGACTCAAATGATATGTATCATGGCCTTTCAAATTTGTCTTTAAATTTATGTGTATACTGTTACGTGACACTTTCTATAGACGTTGAGTTCCTGGAACAAAAGTATACCGTAAAAGATGATGGAACGACGTTTTGAAGCAGAAACGTGTTAACAAAGAAATTTTATACAATTACCAACCCACCAGTTTGTGTTCCATGTCATTAAAGTGATGTCTTAATTTGTAACAACAGCACGTGGCACGGCTATCGGGGGTTGCAGATCCAACGGACGTACGGCGACTACATATCCGGGGCGAGCCACATGGTGAATGTTCTTCTTCGATACTGGAACAAAGTCACGTGTCAGTAATTCTAAAATATTCAGTCAGTATTTTTATCTTAATCATCCCACAATATTATGATATTCATAAAGTGACATTAAGATGTTCACTGGTAAATGTTTACGCATTACAGTGCCATTATATTTTATCATGTTTGCATGTGTAATTAAGCAATAACTTAGTATATCTAACTCTGTAAATCTATCAGTAATGCTCGGAAACATACCGTTAATGCTGTCATACTTACTTTGTGATTTTATCCGGTAATGTGAAGGATTCTGGCCATTTTGACGTACCTTGAAGAACCCGGATGTAATTTCGATATGGCGGTTGGTACAATCCACTAAGGCCATGGAATAGACAAAATTATTCAAATGGTAGATATTGCACCATATGACAGCAAACTGTTTCAAATTAGAATTTATTGTTTCAGTAATAGATATATTTTGAAAACAAAAACAGCATTGTTCATTTACAAATATTTTGCGTATATTTTTCAGTTCGAGGCTGATAACTAGATACCATGAACGTTAAAATTGAACTACTGATTTCTGCAAGAAAACCAAGCCCCGTATTCGTAAAACCGTCATCAAACTCAGATTACGTACCCTAACTCGATTCATATTAATTGTTGTCATTACTTAATCGAAGGATGAGGCTTAATACTTTTCCTATGGTATGTATTGACTGTATCATTCAATCTCAGTAAGTTGTAAGAACGCTGATTTGAGCACGTAACTTGATTATGATCAAGGAAACGGTTTTATCAATGCGGGGGTCATGTCATGTCTCTATATTTGTCCAAACACAGTTATCACCAATTATTGCAGAATGGTTTTACGGTAAGTATACTATCTAGCACGTCTAAAAAATTGTGTATATAGTAAGTGTGTAATAAAAAATAGAGTGGAATACTGGCACATCTGATGTATACATTTCTTATACCTTTTTACACAAAGAATAAAGGCCACCATGCATTTTCCCCTCAATCAATTCAACAATAAGAAACGCATTTTAAGAATGTATTTTTAGAATAAGTTATTGGAGTACTTACACATTTGAAAGGTAGACAAGAACCCATGCCTTGATATTAATCTAAAAGATTTTGATTTGTTAAATAATCCACATTTGATGTATTTCAGGGGGTATACTCGAACACATTTCTTACAATTTACAAAAAGAATGGACCATATATAATACGTCATAGGATGCAATTATCAAAATAGATAAAGAAGTATCATGATATGATTGCATAACCTATATGTGTATTTCAATCGGTAGTCAAAGACACGGCAATTTTGTTTCGACATATAAAAATATAAAATGAATTTTAAAAAATAATAGAATTTTTTACTTTTATCAACTCAAAATCCCTTTTAAAATTGGTGCATATGTTTGATTTTTTTAGTTATTGAATTTAGTCCATGATATTTCAACTAAAACACTGCATATATAAAAAGCATCACTACAGCAGCGTAGCCCTCACTATACCTGGACGAGTTTTCACTGTTAGGGTTAGTAACTGTGTCGGCACAATTTTCGTGACTGTTAGTTGACATGGTAACGGGTTGCTGTGGTGTAGGGTTTCCTTGCATAAGTAGGTTTTGAGTATTAGTATTTGAGACAGGTGATAACAAATCAGCACTAATCACATTCGTCGAGGATAAACTGTCTCCAGCCTGAATTTTCTGGGAATTCGTTCTTGAGCACATCCCACATTCTTCTACAATTCCAATCGTTGCAACATTTGTGTTATGTTCACTTGAACTCTGCCTCTGGCACAAGTCGTTCGGATTTACGCTTAGTGATTGTGTTAGTAGTTCAGCCGAACCGACACCTAGTGTTTTGTTACTACTATCATTCTCTATAGCTTCACAAACTAAAGTTCCATTCGGATTGCCTCTGACGTTTGCCGATAGATTTGTCTCTGTGTCATAACCTGGATACATAGGAGTGGAATGGGAATTTTCCACTGGATGGACCAAACTTGTCTGGTGAATTTTATGTTGACTTTTATAGCTCTTTCTTCGACTACGTTTACCTACTAATCTTTTGACACTATTAACAAATTTAGATTTTCCATTCAACCGATTTTCGTTTTCTTCATCAAAATTCGAAACTCGAATTCCAGGCAATCCTCCTTGCTTATTAGGCGACGCTTTTTGTGAGGCGGTTATAATCGCACGAAGTCCTTTACACGGGGAATTTGGCGACCATAGATGTCCCGGTGATAGATTTGCGTTAGCTAATTGTTTTGTCTGTTTGCGATCCTTTTCTATTTCCTTTAACCGTCTTTGTCCATAGCATCGGATAATTTGCTGTAAAGCAATAACAAATTTCTATGTTTATAGTGTTTAGAGAAAAGTATATTACAGAAATATTAGTCAATGTTAATTTAGAGAATGACGTAGAAACTGAGTCCCCACATTCACAATTTGTCATTTATATAAATAGTGCATTACTATGTTATATGTATGCTTTGTAATGGTCCAAAATCATTTCACCTTGTCGATGCTATTCAGTTTTATATCAATAAGTAATAGGAGAAATTCTGTAAGGGTCTTTCAACTGTTGACATTTAACATTCGGACATTTTGTAGCGCTCTTGGTCATCTTTTACATCCTATCTTGACCCTTCGAACCAAACCACGATGAGAAATATCAAATGACAGTATACGACTGTGGAATGGACCATTCACTACATTTAATTAGTATTCAGGAAATCGTTATGTGAAAGCAGAACCAACATTAACTTACTGAAACAAACGTGGATTATAAATTAGTAGGCTGAATATACGGAGGCTTCTACGTTTTGCATCAAATGGGATCAGACGCCATAGCAGACCATTATCTTCAGTCACTAGAGAGGTTGATACTTCCAATAAGAATGCATGTAGAACTTTACAAATAAAAGAGTAGGACAATATCGACGTCTGTGCCATTCATAACAGAATGACACCAAACGATAGCCTAATCAATTTTGTAAATTTTGTCATTCAACTGAGACGATTTAATAAGATTTCATTCATAAAAGACAAGTCCAAAGTTCAGACCTTTATCAGTTAAAATCTGCTATGGCGTCTGTGTCGCTTCCTGTTATACTAAAACGTACAACTTCCGGGGGAATCTATGTGCACGACATGACATACTACAAATACTACTAAACCTAAACCATGTGACCTACGTGTGATACCTGATACTGTTCTTGGGTTTCTTATCATCAATGTCCTTAACAACATTTCCATTGCACGGATTGTCTTTGGCCGAAAATTTCAATCTTTTTCTTCCATATTCCACTAAAATAGTCTGCAGATTGATATGCTTTTTATGTACATGGTCATGGAAGCCTCTTTTGCATTTACTTTACATTCCTGCAATTAAAATTTACGAATCGACGCGAATGTCGTTTTTACTCTTATTACCCACGATTCAACTTTATGTTGTCTTGATCATAAAATATTATCTTTTGTTGGATTTAACATTCCAAAAATAAAAAAGAATATGAAATGATCTTAGACAATAAAATAATTATTAATGCTATAAATCTATTAAAATTATAAAGTCAACGATACTTTAAACTATAAACTGTATGTTTCCTTTAATGGTTGGTTATTTGTTCCATTTTCTCTTTTCTTTATTCTGTATTACAGTAGGTAGTAAACGAATGAAAGGCAAGTATCGGTAATTCATTCCGTCGTCTCTCCAGACATGAAGACGAAGGGACGATAAGAAAAAGATAGCGAAGTGCTTATATTCTTTCCTATTCTCCACGTTCTTTGTCTTTTCTATCCTTCGCCTTCTTCGTTTAAAAAGGGAGAGAACGAAGTAATGTATATTATAAATGTTTGGTCCCTTCGCCTTGCACAACGATGAAATGGCACAATTCAAACACCATAAACCTGCGAGATAAAGTTTTCAAATACATGCCAATTCAAGCTTTGTTCTTCTCAGTATAATAAATTTTAAAAAAAAAGTAAAACAACCTGAGCGCTGATCATTTCAAGATATAACCGACTTGATAAGATGCATATTTAGTTTTAATTGGGTTTTTTTCTATATCAGGTATAATTTTCTGGAGTGCGGTAGTAAATTGTACCTACCTCCGCCTCAGGGTGATCCTTGAGGGCCTCTAACACATCCTCCCGAGACAACCCGAATAGTTCCGAATAGCCAACTGATTTTACGTCGGCCGTTCGCCTGAAAGTTCGCAGAAAGATTTAGTAAAGAATAAGCAAAACATATTTAGTCATGATGTTAGAAAAGCAGTGTGTATATTCAATAACTTAATTAACAATTCGTTATCGACATCTGTTAAAACGAAGGGAAAGAGATCAGGAACAACTACAAAAAACAACGGAGGAGCGACAAAGTAATCCGGGTTCTACAGGAAGAACAAGTGTTTTCTACACCAGACATCTGTTATTTCAATTTTGGAGGTAAGAGCACCACTTAAAACACCATATATAATTATTATTATTTTATTAATTCGTTAAACCCTCAATTACTCTTAGAAATATAATATGTTGAAGGGAAATATGTTAACGGAAAAAATACTATCTTTAGAATATCCCAAGCCATTTTTTTTGTAACTAATTTATCTTATTTAGAACTGTTTATTACTCAGAAGAAGGACGTGTTCAGACGGTGTCATAGTGTGGCCATGACCCACTGATAAGAAGATCAAGGAAGTATGTCTGTCACGCCTCCAACAAGGTTATTAAGTTTAAGTACAACACGTCCTCGTTATAAGGAAGCTTATTGTACATGTATAACAACCTAGTATTTCAATATAAATCCACCCTGAGGTATGAACTGACAGAAAAAAAGTTGTTGAAAGTAAATTAGAAAACAAACTCTTGAAAAAAGTTCAATATAAATAAAAATAAAATACATACCATGTCCACAATAAATTTAAGAATATTGCAAGTCAATCTCAACAATACATAACACATAAATCAAAAAACAATACTTCCATGTCTTAATCAAACATGTAGTCGAAAGCAAATCTGAATAATATCACAACTGATTAATTTGATAATGTTCCAGTAAGATTCCATTTAAAATTAAATAATAACTATTTTCCAATTATATCATGATAATATACATAAAATAATAGTGTTAGATGGTAATTCCAATATCATGCTTTAATTCCATATACACACATCACAATACTACCGTATAACAGTAAACTGAAAAATATCTCCATATCGGGGGGATTTGTCACTTACTGAAAACAAAGAAAATGTCCGAGTGTTATGAGAAAGGACACACTGTTGGGCCAGGAATTGACAGCTAGGACACAATGCACTGCTATTGAAAGTGATTTCAAATATTGCTGAAATTATGTTTTGTGTGAGCTTTAGTCCTTTATGCATGACTGAAAGCGTAATGAATACTTTCTTAATTATATTAACTACATTAGGAAATGCACAATGCTTTCATGTCAAAAGATCTTCGGAGTTTACCTATCAAACTATCGTCTTTGGTGCTTTCGAGAGTAAGTATACCTTTAGATAGAACCCGCTTTGATATAGCATTTGAAAGTGAAACAGAATTGCAGTGATACATGCCATAACGCATATATCCCGTTATTTGGAAATAAGATATTAGTTACCTGTTTATACCGGCATCAAGATTAAGAATACCAATCTCTCCGAAAAAGTCTCCAGTTCCCATTTGAGTCAAAATTGTTCCTGTTTCGCTACAAAGAAATAAGATATGATAAAAAATATAAAACTGTATCATGTTCACTTTATCATCATTTCGCGCAAACAGTTCGTTTTTGTACATTATCTTCCTATGATACTACAGTCGAACCTCGTTATCTCGAACTCCTTTAACTGAAAGTTTTTCCACGACCCCGTCGACTTCAAGATAACTAGGTTCGACTGTATATTAAACATATTTTTCGTATGATTGCTTATGTGATAACTGTACTGTTGATTACTTTTTTTTAATTTAATTTTTAATTTTAACATTGAAATTAATGCAGTTTAATATGTTGAAATCTTTATTGTGTACAAAATTATCTTTTTTTTACCCTTCGCCTCTTTTTTAGGCCTGCTAATTCCAATTTCTCATCCAGAGTTACCTATCTTTGTATAACATAACTGGAAAACTCGTTGAGCAGAGTCAATGTTTCTCTATATACAAATTTGTTATAAAACCTATCATCCCTTTTTAAAATCATTTTCCAAGCCAGTTTTATATAATGCTTAATATTTTTAGAAGAAATTGTTGTTTTGGTAATAATCATCACCTAATAATTTCAACGAGACCATCAGCTATAATAAACATCTCCCGTGCTACTTCTCCACGTCGACAGATCAAATCTCCCGGGGTAAAAATGTACGCCCTCATCTTCAGCACCAGGTCATGAAGAAATTCCGGCTGGCACTCTTGAAATATGGTTACCTGATTTGAAAGGAAAGTGTGTAAAAATATTATAAATAAAGATAAACAACGAAAGAAATCTTTCTACAAAAAGTCTTGTTCTACCTTAACAGGATACAACTATGTGATCTAATTTTATACTGTATCAGATAGTGTCATAAGAATTGTTTTTTTATATATACATATTTAGTAAGTCATCTTTAATAGTGATATATTTGAAGTTTTTTCTTTTGTCTTTACTTGATAATTTGTTAGTAAAATTTGATTTCGTAATTTGGAATTTAGCGAGCATGATTGATCGGTGTAGACGAAATAGGTTATAAATCTAACTTCTGTTATATGTGAAGATACATATATGCAGACCAGCCTTTGCCGTAACTTTCATAGTGTGTAAATCAACAATGACTTTGTTATGAGCTATACAGACACAGTGAATTGTTTAATCTAAAATAGTTTTCTTTTTAGTTACCATTTCATGAGGACGAATATTAAAAGAAAATATAAAATGAAAGAAAAGTTTCGATAGTACTTTGAATAATGAATTGATTTACTGAAAGGAGGAAACATTTTCATAATATTTTAATTATATCTATATTAATTCGTTGTTTCAATCACATATTTATACCGACCGTGACTGGAAAATATGCAAATATTTTCTCAACATATATCTACCTTATATCTAGTGTTAATCTAATGTCAATTTCGTGAATTAATACATATTTTGAGAAAATCATTTTAAATTCTAAAGATTGTTGTGCCTGTAAGGATCAGTTAATATTAATATTAATCCGTTATTAAGTCAAAATCAAAAGATGCGTTTTAAAGTAACTCTTTTTCAACCTTTTTTCATGCATGAAAAACCTTTTTTGTAAACACAATCGTTTGACTGTCTATGTATAAAGAAACAATCAAAAGCAGCCTATTTCATGAAAACTGATTATTTAGATACTATTGATAGAAACGTCAATAAATGGGCACGTACCTTTTTCAGTGTCTCGAGGTTTACATGAATGGCCAGCTCAGTTTTAAACTTATCAGGTAGCATACCTAGAGAATTGATGTCAGATCCCTTCATCCTGCCACTGTTGTAAAAAAATGTATTAAGTTAAATGTTATATATAAATGTCATGAAACTACACGTAGATAACAATTGGCGATTATATTTGCATAATATTTTGTATGACTATAGGTATAAAATAATCGTGTTATTTCAGTATGTGTTTCTTGAACCATAACGCTTTTAGTACATATAAATCAATGACATATTTTTGTGTATTCCATCATGTAATGTCACGCATTGTGACATCAAAGTTAAGATACAAAACATGAAGTCACAACTCTGTGAGAGTGCATTGCAGACGATAGATATTTAACATACATGGCGTATTTGAGGTCTTGCAGATGGTCAAAATTAAATGCTTTTCTAATTTCATGCAAGGTAATGTTATTTAAAGAGCTCTTATTCGTTTCATTTGATATTAGAGTGATAAGCTCTCATCAAACTTTTCCTTTATCCAAGAAAAGCCTCACATAAAATAAATAAAACCTCTTGACTCATTTTATTATTTCAGATGTCATTTGTATATCATATTACTCAGAATGACGTCATATTGCGCGCTGATATGTCTTTCATCATTATTCCTGTGAGATGAGTCCATTGATATTGCAAAGATGCACTTCAATTGTTAAAGTCAACATAATGTAACAGAAAACAATTAGATGTAAAACAAAAGTTTTTGGTGACAGATGATTTTCTGCAGTATTTTATCATAAAGAATAAAATATCCAGTATCGTTGTTGCAGCTAAATAAAATTATATCAAACGACTACCATAAAAGGGAAAAACTATTTCATTTCAACGTTATCATAACCGTGATAAATATTACTGCAACGCTGTTATTACATTTTATAAAATAGGTATAGCGTGACCGAAATTATGTAGATTCCGTTATGTAGATTTTTTCACATTTATTACATATACAATAATGACGACTAAAGAGTAATAACAAAAGCAAGTAAAGATTTAAAAGTTGTGGATTCATAAGCTCAAACATTATAATAGCATCCTGAAATGATAGTTCCTTTACCCTTCCATCGTTACACGTAACCTCTGCGCATTGCATAATTAGCAATCATACAATAAAACAATAATAAAAATGTTGAAATTTACAAAGAAATAAATACCACAATGATTAAATATAAACCCCTCAACAAGTTTCATTTCCTTATACATGTTTCATATTGCTTATTTTCCTTTTTGATAACATGTTTCAGGTCATATTCCTTCACTTACTTTTTTTTCTTTTCTGTTCTTTTCGTATCACCTTTGTACCGTTTTCACACGAAAGTGTACAACTTTGTTCACGTTTCAGAAGCTGAGGTAGTATAACCGTTTCCACACATATCTTTACCGACTTTGTACACATTTCGGAGCTGTGGTAAACTTACCACTTCCAGATGCAATCGCACTGTCGTTGTACACATGTCTGAGCTTAGGGAGACCGTTTTCAGATGTAATCGTACATTTTTTGACCACATTTCTTTTGTGTGGAGACTTACTGTTTCCAAACGTAATTGCATCATCTTTGTGAACATGTTTGAAGTTTCGGGACACTTATCGTTTCCAGACGTAATCGTACCATCTTTGTACCCGTTTCTGAAGCTGTAGGAGACTTACCGTTTCCACACGTAATCGTACCATCTTTGTACCCGTTTCTGAAGCTGTGGTGGAACGTTGTGCATCCTCATGTACAGCTTAGCCCCATCCTACATCAGACATAAAACTTTAAACATCTTAAATCGGTAACCATAATATCATATAAGTCTACAGAGTATACTGACTACGTTTATGTTATTTCCATAAACCATTTTGTCCTCATACAAATTATACTTGGGTGCCAATGATTGTAAAATTCCATATGTTTGACTTATGATATGATCATTTCGTATTCCAACTTACCAGAAGCCTCTCAAATTCCTGTCTACTGGCATTTCGGTTTGTTATAACATTTCCCACCTGTCCTGAAAACAATAATTAAACATGTTTTATATTCATCTACAAAAAAATGTATGTTTGTAAAATGTTTATCGGTTTGCAATCACCATAATGAAAATATCTTCTCAAAAAACGCTCATTCATTCGTCTCAGAAAACTCATTAACTTAGTTACACTCGTGTGATAAGCATAATTCACAAAATTTAACCTAAGCAATGAGCGTTCTAAAAAGTCATCGATATTCTGTCACACTCATAAATCACATAACTTCACATCATCTGCATATCTATATGGAAATTAATATATTGTGCAGGATAACATTATTCCAACACAAATACTCCGTTCGGAAAGGACGATTTATATCTTCGCCACACATATCCACAGGCATGTAATAAGTCAATTTACTTCTCTTACTTTCAGTTTTGAATACATCGATTTTGCATTAACAGTGTATACAAAGTTTTGGTATGAATGTGAATTCTTTTAATACATCCTCCAACGTTAAGGTACTATTTACCCGGTTGAAAAGAGGAAAGGATCTACTGATGTATATATGAAAATAAAGAAGAATGTCACGCCCTCTCTCTGATTAACCTCTAATATATAAACGAATTAACAAGCAAAATGAGATTTAATTTAACTCTGCTTTTTAGTCTCCCCCTCATATTTGATGTCCTCTCAGTCCGTTACTTACAGTTTTGACATTAACTTCTTATTACGCATTGCGTGCCAATTTTTCGGTTTATATTTACCTTTTTCATTTTACTTTTCGGCTTTTTGTCGTTAATTACTTCTTTTTTTTTATTTCAACTTGAACAATTATAATGTAAAGCCTATCTTGGTTCTTTTATCAGTGCAGAAAAAAACTTCCACATAAGACTTAATTAACTGTAGCACGTTACTGACAATGCTATGTATTATTAAACGCAATGATAGCCAGATCTTAACTTTTTAAAATAGCAAAGTTATGTTATTCTACACGCGTTATAGATAAGGAAAGCAGCCCCTTTAGAACTTCCTTATATGTGAGGGTGTGTGTTTGAGGTTGTAAACGTGTTCTGGTTGTCATTGTTATTTATTTTCAACGTCACGTTGCTGACGTCAACTTCAAAAATACACAAAAGTGGCTCTATGACTGCGAAAAAAATTACATTTAACAAGCATATAGAAGGATTTTAAAAGAAAAAATATCTATCTTTCCAACGGTACTAAGTATTTTTTTGTACATCAACTAGAAATGTGGTTTTTGATGCAAGAAAGTTTGGTGGGGTCGATTTGTTGACATCGAGAGCTTCCTCCCTTCTCGTACATTGGGGTTGGCATATTTACTGAAAGTCGATCTAAACTCCTAAAACATGCAAAATTACTTCGAACACCTCAATTAGGGTCCAAATATAACTGTAACAAATTCTCAGGTCTCTGTGCTGTACACTACCAACTATGCCATGAGACGCAATATACACTGCTGCGATTTGGAATACCAGAGGAGTTGTAGATACTTTTAAGATATAGAGAGCTTGATTTGGTAACAAAAGCCGGTATTTCTAATCTTAAACAATTACACACACGAGTGTCTAAACATATTTAACAAACACAGCCCATGAACATTGATTCGAATACTTTAAAAAAATTACATGATTGCCACGCACTTAGGCTAACAAATTTGCACGATACTTTCCTCTAGCTTATTTTCCCCCGACATCTGTTTGCAGACAGCTGCATCTGAAACGTTCTATTCTGTTTTTGTTACTCAAAATATCTAAGGTTTGATACTTGTCATTCATGTCGGCTTGGCTTTGCAATAGCTCTATTAATCATTCTTACAGTACAGAACAAACACAATTGATTCAAGTGCAGCACGACGGTATCGTATGCTCTGGAATATTAAGTTTAGAACAGAATTGTTGAACGTCGAGCAATTGGAAAACAAACAAAGAGGAATTTCGAAATCAACGTGAAAGAAACCCTGTTATTTTTTTTGGCAAACTCATAGTATTGATCAATTAAGAAAAGCATGCCAGATTTATAGGACTTCTTGTACATTATTAGAAAAATAAACTTTCAAGTAAGTCTTTTTCATTTCTGTTCATCCAGATTGATCGTAGCCAATAACCGAATGGTAAAGCTTTGCAATCACCTCTTTGACGTTCGGTATGCTACTATGTGTACGTGACAAAAGCCGTTACCCCCAGATACACCAGTTGACTTGACCCAATGAGTATAGTTCAGACCAAATCCATTTTAGTTAGGGATAATAACAATATGTTCTTTGATCATTGTCAGTCAGCCGTTCCGTTTCATTGGTTTGTCATGAGAGTGAAAGATTGTCAGTGAATTAAAAATATCACCTGCATGTTTTTTATGCATAGATTTCCTGGTCATCTGTACATTTTATAATTCACTATAAATAAATTTCACTTGTATGATTATAATTCAACTTTTTATATAGCTATATGAATGAAAAATATATAATAACAGGTGACAAGGAATTCGAATACTTCAAATCAGCTTAATAGACTTTCAAATGTAACTTGACACTTTTGCAAAATCTTATTTATTAATGTTACGTAACCGATAATCACCATGCGCTGTTGTTCTATGTCGCATTGAAATTCAGGGTCTAGTTTTAAAGCCCTAAAATATAAGGTGCCCTGTTCTTATTAGATGCTCGTCAAACGTATTATAAGAATTGAGTTGTTCAAAGAAGCTATTTTGCAATTTTGCACTTTACCTCAATATGTAGATTTACTTGTCTACATAGTGAAGACGTTCATAGAAAGCAAATACATAATAGCATGTAGTTGTTATTTCGTTGATTAAAAAAATTCGTTGATAAAATAAAAATAAAATATGAAGGACAAAATTTCATTTTAAAAGTCTGCACTAATGTAATATTTGAATTGGAAAACAGGCAGCAATTTGTTCGTTATGTGGGGCATGTTATCAGATTACAAGGATCCAATAAAACCAGGATAGCCCTTAGATTGACACCCCAGGGGAATAGACCAAGAGGCAGACCTAAGACCACCTGGCGCAGAACCATCGGATCTGAACTGAAAGAGAATGATATGACCTGCAGAGAAACTGAAACAAAGGCAAAAGACAGAACTGGATGGCGAAAATTTGTGGCGACCTTATGCTCCGGCCGGGGCGAAGGGAAAGTAGGTAGGTATCAATCAGAATGATCCCATTCACAGAATCAGGTAGATAGCAAATGATTGGTCGCCCGTTGAGAAAGATCAGCAGAAACATTCCTTACTTTGACGTTACGTAGATCAAGGAAATATCAACAAAGTTTGGATTCAGCAATGTCAATAAATGTCACCCCTTAAAACGCAATGGACCTTGTGTTAAGATTGTGGTGTGTCAAATAGAGTACGTGAGGGGAAACGGCTTTTGTCACGTACACAAAGATTTACCGTTCAGAGTTTGGCTACGATGAATCCGGATAGGCTGTATTTAGGTTAGGCGTATTTCCTGATTCTATGAGACATATTGTGTTTGATATAAACAACAGCAGATCATTGGTATAGGTTGCATGCAGACATGTGTTTGTTAAGTATTGTATGATACAGTATTCTCGTTATTGGCCGATTTAATCTATTGAACGTGCGGTCTCTTACCTTCCTTGTAAAAAATGACTAATCGATTACAGAATAGAATATTTACAAACAATATACGTCAGAAAAATACCTATTCAATGTGATAATAAACCCTTCTCCGTATCATCTTCGTGAAAGAAAAAAAATGATATAAGAAAAATATCAAATGTGAATATATTACAATTTACTGAGATTTTTTAATAAAACAAAAAAGTGTTTTAAACGAAAGAAAAGATTTCAGATACGATTTTGAATTACGGTATCATTTATACCACCTACCGGTAGCATGATAGATTAAATACCATGGGTTGTCAGTATAAGAAGAAGTTGAGAAAGACTTGAGAACAACTTGAGAACAACTTGAGAACTGATCTACCCATTTCAAAGCACTTTGGAACGTATTTCTCAAAACAGAACGTCTGCTCGCGTCAGGTGAAGTCCGAAACCGGAAATAATTTCCACACAAAAAGGTATACGAGGGTATAAGAAAATAGTCCGTCATAAACAGATTAATACAAAATCACGAAAAAATATTGTGAGAATAACAACACCATTTCAGCGTAAATATGCATATGGAAAAGCCAATAACGATCAGATATTTTTTTTTAATTATTTTGTTCTACTTGACTTTAAGGTTCATGGTATTCCTCCGCGCAAATCTTCTATTTGTTCACATTTGCCACAGGCCGAGGATTTGCGATCGATGACAATTGAGCCTGGAAGTCGTTTGGAAAATATGGTGTGAAGTTGACTTTTTTTAATGAAGAAATATATAAGGTAGTAGTATATAGATGATAAACAGTTTATCACACAATATTTACAGGGTTTGTCGTTCGAACAGTTTTCTTATCGCTCACATGGATAATATCTCGAGTCCACCTGCGATGGGTTTTCGATTATATCCACGTGATTGCGATAAGAGAATGTGTTTTCACGACAAACCCAGAAATCACAGTGTGAAAATAAATGAATATCAATGTTCATACCTGTGTAATTACATCAACGACATAAAACAAGAACAGCATTATTAAGTAACGAAACAAGGGTTCGCCAGCCTGTTGGCAGTAAAACTTCATCTCTGAAACAGGCTCTTGAAAAGCGATTAGCTTTCAATTCAATTCATTGTACATAACTAATAAGTACAGCAATAGGGATGAGGTAACCGGTAGATCAATGACCCTTCCAGCATTATTAAAATGAATTCAAAGAATAATGACAATAGATTGTGAAAGTCAATGTCCTTACCGACAATTGTGGCGAAGATGAAAACACCGATTAGGTAACTGACTATGACGAAAACATACCTGAAAGATAATTAAAAAATAAATTAAGAACACATAACATATTTATATACTAAGGTTATCTAGCTCATGTCTTTATTGAAAGGTTTTTCAACACTGCTATCGAAATAAATTGCACAACCCTTACCTAATGAAACATTTTATTTAAATCCAAAGCGAAAAAGCATGGAAGTAAGAACCCTTGTACTATATAGAGGAAGACAAGAAAAAACAACCATTCTCATTATAGTTTACAATTTAAGGTTTATTAATAAAAATGCCATAACGGGATCGGAAATCATATTTAAAACATTGCGGAAGCTTTGCAATAGAGTTGCTTATAACCATTTGTAAGACGCGCTTAATCGCATCTGAAAGCCTTCGTAGTGGCAAATCTTGTTAAAGCATTATACCCCTAACAATATATACCTGCATTAGTAATTTCGAAATGTTTAAGTTTCTTTCTAATGATCTGACAACATGAAATGCAATACAAGAGATAATATGTAAAGGGCGAAAATTTTCAATTGGATCGACTAGTTTGAATTTAAGCAGTTTATTTTTATAGTATAAGTAGTTGATTTTAGTTTTAAATGGGAACATGCTACAGTAAAACCTCAATATATTGTCCCCCGTACCATTTGCCACCTCATTTATCGCTTACATATTTTAACGTAACTTTTTCTTGTTTTCTGAAGAATTCCTTTCTACGTTGCCCTCAATTTATCTCCTTCACCTATGCAAAGCTAACTTTTTCTTAGACGAATGGTGGTAGCATAACGTGCATGCCTTTTAATTAAATATAATCATCGTAAAAAATTATATGTTAAATCTACTCATATGGGTTTTTTTCAAATAAGCAAAATAATTTAGAATTCTATTTCTGGTGTCAGTCAACTAGTGCAACTTGATATAAATTGATTCTGACATCAATAAATGCGATAGACAGATGGATCCTGAGCAGGGGTAGAACAGTTAACATAATATATAACTCATCTATATCTAACATCCCAAAATGAAAATTATTTACCCTAAACTAAAATCAAACATTTATTACTAGTATATCACTAAATAGTGCGTATCATACATTTCATCGTTTGTAGAAAAGTTTCGGCAGATAGGTATGCGAGCAGTCAAATGAAAGAATTCAATACGGTTTTAGATACACTCATTCCTACACAATTCATAGCAATTTCCTGGTGACAATTAACAAAAACATATCAAAACCACAAAACAAAAAACAACAAAAAGGAAAAACCAGCTACCACAGCGTACAAAACTAAACACAAGTGTTAAATCAGGATGTGCAAATCAATGCTAAGTAAATCAAAACAATGAACGTAATTCAGTGTTACACAGAGGGAGACGTGAACTGTCCATGCTGATACCACCATTCATGTTTACAGAAACGAAAACACTGTGAGAATTTGACAACAAATACTTACGCTGAATAGGAAAGGCGAGCACTGTAACACAAAAATCTCACCGTGATATCTGTGTGATGTTTTCTCTAAGTGACGATTACCCTAAAGTTTCACCTTCTTATTTGTTTGATATTATTTACAGTAGATGCTGACGATTCCTTATACAATAATACACAAGCCTAACTGATATCTGTGCGATGTTGTCTATATTAGTGACAATCCCTGTATACAGTACAAACCTGCCCGTGATATCTGTGTGATCTTTTCTCTAAGTGACGATTACCCTAAAGTTTCACCTTCTTATTTGTTTGCTATTATTTACAGTAGATGCTGACGATTCCTTATACAATAATACACAAGCCTAACTGATATCTGTGCGATGTTGTCTATATTAGTGACAATCCCTGTATACAGTACAAAACTGACCGTGCTATCTGTGTGATGTTGTCTATATTAGTGACAATGCCCGTATACAGTTCAAACCTGACTGTGATATCTGTGTGATGTTGTCTATATTAGTGACAATCCCCGTATACAGTACAAACCTGACCGTGCTATCTGTGTGATGTTGTCTATATTAGTGACAATCCCAGTGTACAGTACAAACCTGACTGTGATATCTGTGTGATGTAAAACCTGACTTTGCTATCTGTGTTATGTTGTCTATATTAGTGTCAATCCCCGTATACAGTACAAACCTTACCGTGCTATCTGATTGATATTGTTTATATTAGTGACAATCCCCTTATAAAGTACATACTTTACCGTTCTAGTTGTGTAGTCTAGAGTATATTTTGTGACTAACCCCATGCATATTGTTTCAAAAAGCTTACATATCAATAAATATTTAAATAAAATTATTCATTATTCAAACTAACTTTTATGTTAAAATGTACATTGCAATTTTGTGGGGGGTTTCTTCTTCTATAAAACAATACCAAATCAATAATATTTCTTTAAAACAAATGCTACTATTAAGAATTAACTCGAAACCATGTCATACTAGCGTAGCTATCTATATACAGATGTGATTGCTCAACATTGTTATATTTTTTGTATGAAAGGCAAAATAACAAAAACGAAATAATGGAAATCGCAAAAATTGTGGTAATGAGTGCATCTGATTTTACTGAGAGGTTCGCGGGTAAAAGCAACGTTTTCAGTCCCGTGTGCCAACTATTTGATCTAACAAAAATATTAGATAGTCTTCTGTATGTCACAATAATATACAATAGCAACGCATTCCTGATATAGAAGACGCATATTTACAGCTCTGAACTTAAAGTTATAAATATTGATTTTTACAAGCAAAAAAACTAACACGTATATGACAAAAATTACTGTTTCTAAAAAGGAATATTTACTTACTCCCAATTAGTTTCCGGTGGTGGAAGGTCACCTATCGTAGTTAGGGTCAAGGTCGACCAAAACAGTGAAGCTAGATACTTCCGGGTCACCGATGAGAACTCTCCTATTGGTTTAGGGTACGACCAGTCCCCTTTGAAATCTTCGGCTTCTGATATAAGGTAATAAAAGGCAGCAAACCAATGAGAACCGAGGAAAAGTATATGCGTCAGATTGGCTACACGAAAGAAATTTGGATACGCCGTCCGTGATTCTAGCATGTAAAGGAACCGAAACGTTCGATACAGCTTGATGAATCTTGGGAATCGCACCATTGGGTGTATTCCAATGAAAAACTGTATAAAATCCAATGGAAACAAACACACGAGGTCCAAATAGAAATATTTTGTTGAGATATAATTTTTGGCAAGTTTTACGGAATCAAACACCATAAGTCCTTGATCTAAGTACCCTGTACGGAACTGACAAACGATATCTAAAACATACACAATGTCGCATACGATGTCGCACGTGATCCACACGAATAAATGGTTCTCGTGTATCTCTCTAAATGCTTCACGTGCAATGCACGTCCATAGATTATAGAGCACGGCCACCGTGACTAGTCCTGTCCAATACAACATCAGGTTACCGTCCATCCGAAACACTGTTCGATGTTTTTCTTTTGTCTCATGTTTGCTTACATTTTCAGTGTGGTTTTCGACAGGATTACAATTGGATTCTACCCTATAAGGCTGTCGTGTTGAAAACTTTTTCAGAAATGAATCTTCACGTGTCACAGTGGACTTTTTCTTTGGTGTTACGGCGTTCGTGACCTTGACCGCGTGCCGGAGACTGCGCCATCCTTTGCCTACCTCCTCTTCCTCTTCCGTACCCGGGTTTGCTGTTTGTCCCGTGCGACGCCCTAATCGGGACATTAGGTTTCGAGTCTTTGACCTTCCTGGCGAACTACTAGAGATGGAAGACGTACTTGTCTTTCTTTTTTCCTTTTTCGATCGAACTTCCGGGGACGGTGTTCCCGCAGGAGTTTCTACTTCCGGTGAGGACGATAACTCCATATCTATGCCTTGTGCATCTCTTTGGTTGATCTCCAATTCCATGATAGAAATTATTTTCGAAAATGTTACTTTCGTATTCAAAGTTCCAATCATCTAGCTCTTGTTCGTCGATATATATCCTATGTATAATAGCAGTCCTGAAAGCTTCTGAATGTCATCTTGGTAGCGTCTTCGTATAATTTAAGGAACTTCAGTTCCTCGTTAACGCTGGAACGCTGAGTAAACACCTTTTTCTCGTCTGCCGGTTATATATTTATCACGTGTTGATTGTTTTCGGTCATAGTATACCCGTATTAAGGGCCATTTCAGTCTGTGTCTAGTCTCATTGTTTTCTTCTATCTGTTATACTAACATAAGCGTAATAGAAGGTAACATAGCTACCCTGCTTACCAACATCGACAAATGTAAATAACTAGTGTTAAAAAACAGATAACGTATATACGGTCTCTCATCGTTGTATTGTTATTACTATTTCTGTGGTGAGTTTTCAAATCGATCGCAACATTTCATTTTATTTATTTTTAATTCTAATCACGTTTAAAATTTCAAGTGTTATATAATTATCTTTTGGCTTCGATCAATCTAAATGATTTTCAGAATTGCGTATATGAGCAATATCCATATAGAAAATCCTCATTCAAATGAAATCATTGGTCAGAACGGTTTTGTGGTGAAACAATTGTCTCAGTTGTAACATATTTTAAAAAGTCTCTTTTAAACTGCAGCGCCGCCTCGAGATACAGTGAGTACAGGAGATAACTCTGTAGAGCTGTTCACATGTTAAATGACGCACAGTTGCACGTGTTTCTATTTATATATCCAAATCAGCATTCGGGGATGACAGAGCGTTCCTGGTTAAGTTTTCGTTCTTTCTACACATCTGCAAATAGAGACAAAAACGGTTAGATAAAAATCCTACAATATAGATACAAAATAAGGACAAACACGGAAAGATAGAACGCCTGTAATATAGAGACAAAAACGGTAGGATGGAAAGAACACCTGCATTATAGAGACAAACAATGTCAGATAAATTGTCTGCAATAAAGAGACAAAAAACAGTAAGACAGATTGTCTGCAATAAAGAGACAAAAACGGTAAGTTAGAAAGGTAACAATATAGAGACAAAAACGGTAAGATAGAAACCTAACAATATACAGACAAAAACGGTAAGTTAGAAAGCTAACAATATAGAGACACAAATAGTAAGATAGAAACCTAACAATATACCGACAAAAACGGTAAGTTAGAAAGCTAACAATATAGAGACAAAAATAGTCAGATAGAAACCTAACAATATACCGACAAAAACGGTAAGTTAGAAAGCTAACAATATAGAGACAAAAATAGTAAGATAGAAACATAACAATATACAGACAAAAACGGTAAGATAGAAACCTAACAATATACAGACAAAAACGGTCAGATAGAAAGCTAACAATATACAAACAAAAACGGTAAGATAGAAAGCAAGCAATATAGAGACAAAAACGGTAAGATAGAAAGCTAACAATATACAGACAAAAACGGTAAGATAGAAAGCTAACAATATAGAAACATAAACGGTAAGATAGAAAGCTTATAATATAGAGACAAAAACGGTAAGATAGAAACCTAACAATATACAGACAAAAACGGTAAGATAGAAAGCCAGCAATATAGAGACAAAAACGGTAGGATAGAAAGCTAACAATATACAGACAAAAACGGTAAGATAGAAAGCCAGCAATATAGAGACAAAAACAGTAAGATAGAAAGCTAACAATATAGAGACATAAACAAGAAGATAGAAAGCCTGCAGTATAGAGACAAAAACAGTAAGATAGAAAGCCTGCAATATACAGACAAAAACGGTAGGATAGAAAGCTAACAATATACAGACAAAAAGGTTAAGATAGAAACCTAACAATATACAGACAAAAACGAAAGATAGAAAGCTAACAAAANAAAACACTAAGATAGAAAGCCTGCAATATAGAGACATAAACAGTATGATAGAAAGCCTGCAATATACAGACAAAAACGGTAGGATAGAAAGCTAACAATATACAGACAAAAAGGTTAAGATAGAAACCTAACAATATACAGACAAAAACGAAAGATAGAAAGCTAACAAAATACAGACAAAAACGTAAGATAGAATGCTAACAATATACAGACAATAACGTAAGATAGAAAGCTAACAATATAGAAACAAAAAGGTTAAGATAGAAACCTAACAATATACAGACAAAAAAGGTTAAGATAGAAAGCCTGCAATATACAGACAAAAACAGTAAGATAGAAAGCCTGCAATATAGAGTCATAAACAGTAAGATAGAAAGCCTGCAATATAGAAACAAACAAAAGTAAGATAAAAAGCCTGCAATAAAGAGACAAAAACAGTAAGATAGAAAGCCTGCAATATAGAGACAAAAACAGTAAGATAGAAAGCTTACAATATGGAGAGAAAAAACAGTAAGATAGAAAGCCTGAAATATAGAGACAAAAACAACAAAATAGAAAACTAACAATATAGAGACAAAAACAGTAAGATAGAAAGCCAGCAATATACAGACAAAAACGGTAAGTCTGTGTGATGTTGTCTATATTAGTGACAATCCCCGTATACAGTTCAAACTTAACCGTGCTATCTGTGTGATGTTGTCTATATCAGTGACAATCCCTGTATACAGTNCAGTAAGTTAAAGAGCCTGTATGATAGAGACAAAAACAACAAAATAGAAAACTAACAATATAGAGACAAAAACAGTAAGATAGAAAGCCTGAAATATAGAGACAAAAACAACAAAATAGAAACCTAACAATATAGAGACATAAACGGTAAGATAGAAAGCCTGCAATATAGAGACAAANATGTCTATATTAGTGACAATCCCTGTATACAGTACAAACCTGACCGTTATATCTGTGTGATGTTGTCTATATTAGTGACAATCCCAGTGTACAGTACAAACCTGACTGTGATATCTGTGTGATGTAAAACCTGACTTTGCTATCTGTGTTATGTTGTCTATATTAGTGTCAATCCCCGTATACAGTACAAACCTTACCGTGCTATCTGATTGATATTGTTTATATTAGTGACAATCCCCTTATAAAGTACATACTTTACCGTTCTAGTTGTGTAGTCTAGAGTATATTTTGTGACTAACCCCATGCATATTGTTTCAAAAAGCTTACATATCAATAAATATTTAAATAAAATTATTCATTATTCAAACTAACTTTTATGTTAAAATGTACATTGCAATTTTGTGGGGGGTTTCTTCTTCTATAAAACAATACCAAATCAATAATATTTCTTTAAAACAAATGCTACTATTAAGAATTAACTCGAAACCATGTCATACTAGCGTAGCTATCTATATACAGATGTGATTGCTCAACATTGTTATATTTTTTGTATGAAAGGCAAAATAACAAAAACGAAATAATGGAAATCGCAAAAATTGTGGTAATGAGTGCATCTGATTTTACTGAGAGGTTCGCGGGTAAAAGCAACGTTTTCAGTCCCGTGTGCCAACTATTTGATCTAACAAAAATATTAGATAGTCTTCTGTATGTCACAATAATATACAATAGCAATGCATTCCTGATATAGAAGACGCATATTTACAGCTCTGAACTTAAAGTTATAAATATTGATTTTTACAAGCAAAAAAACTAACACGTATATGACAAAAATTACTGTTTCTAAAAAGGAATATTTACTTACTCCCAATTAGTTTCCGGTGGTGGAAGGTCACCTATCGTAGTTAGGGTCAAGGTCGACCAAAACAGTGAAGCTAGATACTTCCGGGTCACCGATGAGAACTCTCCTATTGGTTTAGGGTACGACCAGTCCCCTTTGAAATCTTCGGCTTCTGATATAAGGTAATAAAAGGCAGCAAACCAATGAGAACCGAGGAAAAGTATATGCGTCAGATTGGCTACACGAAAGAAATTTGGATACGCCGTCCGTGATTCTAGCATGTAAAGGAACCGAAACGTTCGATACAGCTTGATGAATCTTGGGAATCGCACCATTGGGTGTATTCCAATGAAAAACTGTATAAAATCTAATGGAAACAAACACGCGAGGTCCAAATAGAAATATTTTGTTGAGATATAATTTTTGGCAAGTTTTACGGAATCAAACACCATAAGTCCTTGATCTAAGTACCCTGTCCGGAACTGACAAATGATATCTAAAACATACACAATGTCGCATACGATGTCGCACGTGATCCACACGAATAAATGGTTCTCGTGTATCTCTCTAAATGCTTCACGTGCAATGCACGTCCATAGATTATAGAGCACAGCCACCGTGACTAGTCCTGTCCAATACAACATCAGGTTACCGTCCATCCGAAACACTGTACGATGTTTTTCTTTTGTCTCATGTTTGCTTACATTTTCAGTGTGGTTTTCGACAGGATTACAATTGGATTCTACCCTATAAGGCTGTCGTGTTGAAAACTTTTTCAGAAATGAATCTTCACGTGTCACAGTGGACTTTTTCTTGGGTGTTACGGCGTTCGTGACCTTGACCGCGTGCCGGAGACTGCGCCATCCTTTGCCTACCTCCTCTTCCTCTTCCGTACCCGGGGTTGCTGTTTGTTCCGTGCGACGCCCTAATCGGGACATTAGGTTTCGAGTCTTTGACCTTACTGGCGAACTACTAGAGATGGAAGACGTACTTGTCTTTCTTTCTTCCTTTTTCGATCGAACTTCCGGGGACGGAGTTCCCGCAGGAGTTTCTACTTCCGGTGAGGACGATAACTCCATATCTAAGCCTTGTGCATCTCTTTGGTTGATCTCCAATTCCATGATAGAAATTATTTTCGAAAATGTTACTTTCGTATTCAAAGTTCCAATCATCTAGCTCTTGTTCGTCTCGATATATATCCTATGTATAATAGCAGTCCTGAAAGCTTCTGAATGTCATCTTGGTAGCGTCTTCGTATAATTTAAGGAACTTCAGTTCCTCGTTAACGCTGGAACGCTGAGTAAACACCTTTTTCTCGTCTGCCGGTTATATATTTATCACGTGTTGATTGTTTTCGGTCATTGTATACCCGTATTAAGGGTCATTTCAGTCTGTGTCTAGTCTCATTGTTTTCTTCTATCTGTTATACCAACATTAGCGTAATAGAAGGTAACATAGCTACCCTAATTACCAACATCGCCAAACGTAAATAACTAGTGTTAAAAAACAGATTACGTCCTTATAGTCTCTCATCGTTATATTGTTATTACTATTTCTGTGGTGAGTTTTCAAATCGATCGCAACATTTCATTTTATTTATTTTTAATTCTAATCACGTTTAAAATTGCAAGTGTTATATAATTATCTTTTGGCTTCGATCAGTTTAGATGATTTTCAGAATTGCGTATATGAGCAATATCCACAAAGAAAATCCTCATTCAAGTGAAATCATTGGTCAGAACGGTTTTGTGGTGAAACAATTGTCTGAGTTGTAACATATTTTAAAAAGTCTCTTTTAAACTGCAGCGCCGCCTCGAGATACAGTGAGTACAGGAGATAACTCTGTAGAGCTGTTCACATGTTGAATGACGCACAGTTCCACGTGTTTCTATTTATATATCCAAATCAGTATTCAGGGGTGACAGAGCGTTCCTGGTTAAGTTTTCGTTCTTTCTCCACGTCTGCAATATAGAAACAAAAACGGTTAGATAAAAAACCTACACTATAGATACAATATAGAGACAAAAACGGTTAGATAGAAATCCTACACTATAGATACAAAATAAGGACAAACACGGTAAGATAGAACGCCTGTAATATAGAGACAAAAACGGTAGGATGGAGAGAACACCTGCATTATAGACACAAACGATGTCAGATAAATTGTCTGCAATAAAGAGACAAAAACAGTAAGACAGATTGTCTGCAATAAAGAAACAAAAACAGTAAGATAAAAGGCTAACAATATACAGACAAAAAAAGTAAGTTAGAAAGCTTACAATATAGAGACAAAAATAGTAAGATAGAAACCTAACAATATAGAGACAAAAACAGTAAGATAGAAAGCCAGCAATATACAGACAAAAACGGTAAGAGAGAAACCTAACAATATACAGACAAAAACAGTAAGATAGAAAGCTAACAATATACAGACAAAAACCGTTAGATAGAAAGCTAATAATATACAGACAAAAACCGTTAGATAGAAAGCCAGCAATATACAGACAAAAACGGTAAGATAGAAAGCCCGCAATACAGAGACAAAAACGGTAAGATAGAAAGCCTGCAATATAGAGACAAAAACATTAAGATAGAAAGCTAACAATATAGAGACATAAACAAGAAGATAGAACACCTGCAAAATAGAGACAAAAACGGTAAGACAGATTGTCTGCAATATAGAGACAAAAACAATCAGATATATTGTCTGCAATAAAGAGACAAAAACAGTGAGATAGAAAAGCTAAAAATATACAGACAAAAACGGTAAGTTAGAAACCTAACAATATAGAGACAAAAATAGTAAGATAGAAACCTAACAATATAGAGACAAAAACAGTAAAATAGAAAGCCAGCAATATACAGACAAAAACGGTAAGAGAGAAACCTAACAATATACAGACAAAAACAGTAAGATAGAAAGCCAGCAATATAGAGACATAAACGGTAAGATAGAAAGCCTGCAATATAAAGACAAAAACGGTAAGATAGAAAGCCTGCAATATAGAGACAAAAATGGTTAGATAGAAAAGTTAACAATATACCGACAAAAACGGTAAGATAGAAAGCTTTTAATATACAGACAAAAACGGTAAGATAGAAAGCCTGCAATATAGAGACGAAAACGATAAGATAAAAAAGCTAACAATATACAGACAAAAATGGTAAGATAGAAACCTAACAATATACCGACAAAAATGGTAAAATAGAAACCTAACAATATAGAGACAAAAATGGTAAGATAGAAAGCTTATAATATACAGACAAAAACAGTAAGATAGAAACCTAACAATATACAGACAAAAAAGAGGTAAGATAGAGAGCTTATAATATACAGACAAAAACAGTAAGATAGAAACCTAACAATATCGAGACAAAAACGGTAAGATAGAAACCTAACAATATAGAGACAAAAACGGTAAGATAGAAAATATTATGTGATCTACAATGTTTATATTAGGAACCATTTTGTTGGCTTGATGACAAAATTGGGTGATCCGGTAAATTTTAACAACTGATATATTTATAACGATTTAGTTGGACCTTTAACATATCTGTCCTGAAATTCCGATTCACTCCGATTCTGCTGAAGAATAACATTATTTTTGATAAATTTTGCCTTTATATGCCCTACGTACTGTACTTCTTATTCATATTACTAATCCAGAAAGCATTTATCCTCGAGGTGGGCAGATTCATTGTAAGTTAACATGTGTTGTATACATTTCTTACGGTGATAATTTTAAAATCCTGGGCCATGATATTTTGCTTTTCTTTTCAATAATTAACAACAATTCAAGGTTACATTAACTTGTCAATGGGTTAATAAAGTTTAACACGTGCAGATATTTCTGAAAATTGTTTAAAGCCATTATTATGTTACTACGATGAACATTTACCAGCGCCTGATAATAACATCGCATAAACCACACCATTACGCAGGATATATATTCCAATAAGGTTTCAAATATTTAAATGTTTATAATCTAAGTGAGATTTTTTTACACGGGAGACGAAAACGTTGTTTTTTTTATATATATATAAAAACCTTTGAGATTACAGATGAAAAAGACTTACCACAATCCTGAATTCTCTAAGCACATACACACTCCAGGCGTTAGTTAAAGTTCAACATAAATAAATTCCACGCGGTATAAAGCTTCAATTTAGGTCTACGATCAATGAAGGTTTAACATATTAACATAAACCAACCGTTATTAATCAGTCCTTTAAACGAATTTCAAAATAAGAGATAAATAATGTCATCTAACACAACATTTGGAATGTGTAAATATTCATACAGCGGGTAGGCATGTGATTTGAGAGGACAAGACACCGCAGGCTCAGAACCGCTCTGTCTAATGCACTGTAGCGTTCTGTTAGAAAACCGGCACAGGAAAAACCACGGAGAAAGTCGATAGAACGCCTCTAATCCACGGGCAAGGGTATTTTGAACAGGGCTAATATAGCGTTGACGGATTAAATATTTTGGGGTTGACTGAAATGAGAACCCCGGAGGCGTCACAGCCGAAAGTTGCTATACGACATAATTGATAGATCTATTGATTTCATTTCCTTTTTATAAAACACATCAAACTATGTTGAAGAATACATCCCTCAACTGCTCATATTGCCGTCTCATCTATTTAGAATATAAGACACTAAGTTACAAGCTTTCTGTACAAGGTCATACAATCGTACAGGATACAATGGTATACATATATATTTGCGTGTGATGAGAGAGAGTTTCCTCGTCAACGACGGCAACCCGAGATAAATAGCAGAGAACGGAGCGCATAAATTGTTTACGTTGGTCTAAATTAATGAATAAATTACTGGACTGCCAAGGTCTTCGAAATGATGGGTTTCGATATCATCAATATTGTTAGTATTTCGATTGAACATATTATCATAAGCGGTATACCAATAACCGTTACATGTACGGAGTGAAGTCTTTACTTAACGGATTCTTCAGTTAGAACATGAATGCATAAATTTCAAAATATGACTAATCCTAAGCAATGTATTGCTGTGAAGCGGTGTAGCGACAATTGCTTTAAATGGCAGAGTGAAGTGTTTATCTATTGCTTTATGCAAAATAAGGTTTAAATGTTTTCCATCATAATTCTTTATCTATGGTGAATGTGTAGGCTTGGACTTGATCAAGGTTCTAACTGCTTTTTAAATAACTTGTATGTACCATTCCCTTATAATGAAATGAGCAGGGATGCCCGATTTCCTGTATACAAAAACAAACAATATTTTGAATCATTGATCTATGTCAAGAGGCGCTTGTTATCGGTCTCATTCAGAGGTTTTAACCAGATTAGTCAAATCAATCATGAAATGAGATTCATCGTCATAACCCGTGAGGCAGGACATGCGTGACCATCCCCACTAGTGGGAACTCCCACGTGGGGGGAAAACCACGCCCAGTTTATAAATTGCATTCACAACCATTCTTCAGTAATGTGTTGGAGATGGATTTGTATAATATCAAATAGTAACGTCAACTTGTTCTCGCCAAAATCATTACATTGGTTTATATAGTGTAGGTCAAGATTAATATATCTTACTGAAATGGTATTGTCTGATTGGGAATACCAATTCGTTATATAACGGTAATATGTAGTTTATGGGTCATTTGGAGAAAACTTTTCGATAGCAAGCTAGTTATCTTAATATGATTCATATATCATTTTCTAACAATCAGCATTGATGACAATCTTTTACTTTAACGCTTTGGCGGCATGTATTCGTTCATAAAGCTTGACTGTCTAAAGCATTTTCCATTAGTTAATTGATTTCATTACAAGTCATTCAACGTAACTTGTTTCACTACTAACGGAAAACTACATCTGTACGTTGAATGTTTTCATGTATTTGGTCATTTTTGTATTGTTATTTCGTATCGCCATGTGTTATAGCATTTATACAATAATAACACATTTATACAACATTCATACAACAATCATACAATCATAACACGTTCATACAAGCATTCATACAATAACACACGTTCATACAATTATAACACATTCATACAACATTCATACAATCATAACACGTTCATACAACAAACACGTTCATACCATTCAGACAATAATAACACGTTTATTCAACATTCATACAATAATAACACGTTCATCAGTATAAAAGGTCCATACAACATCCATACAACAATAACACACGTTCATACAATTATAACACATTCATACAACATTCATACAATCATAACACGTTCATACAACATTCATACAATAATAACCCGTTCATACAATATTCATACATTAAAAACACGTTCATAAAAATAAAATGTCCATACAACATCCATACAACAATAACACAAGTTCATACAATTATAACACATTCATACAACATTCATACAATAATAACACGTTCATACAATAATAACCCGTTCATACATAACACCCATACAACAATAACACGTTCATACAATTATAACAAATTCATACAACATTCATACAATAATAACACATTCATAAAAATAAAATGTCCATACAACACCCATACAACAACAACACACGTTCATACAATTATAACACATTCATACAACATTTATACAATCATAACACGTTCATACAACATTCATACAATAATAACCCGTTCATACAATATTCATACAATAATAACACGTTTATACACCATTCATACAGCAATAACACGTTTATACACCATTCATACAGCAATAACACGTTTATACAACATTCATACAGCAATAACACGTTTATACACCATTCATACAGCAATAACACGTTTATACAACATTCATACAGCAATAACACGTTCATACACCATTCATACAGCAATAACACGTTTATACAACATTCATACAGCAATAACACGTTCATACAACATTCTACACTTTCACAATAAGTTTGATCTAAATATTTTAGATAAAGTGTCAGGGAAGTTACATGTTATATAACTACACAAATACCCTACTGTTCACATTTACCAGTAATTTGGTCCAGAGAAGATGACTTATAACTACAGGTTATTCAATAAACATACTTCTCCTATAGAAATTGATGCTACATCATAGAGGTACTATGGTAAAGCTATCAGACAGTGCAATGATATCGTCCGATTTACGGTTAGTTAACAACTGTGATGTAGGAAATTAGCATACGGTATATTCCAACTACCGTTGTCATTCCATCTCTCGAAAAGGCTCAAGAATGGCCGAATGATAACTTTATACATTATATATATATATCTGCTACCACTTACCTGAACAGTTACGGCCACAATAAATTTACAGCTGTCTTTTTATATACTTAATCCGCCATGTAAACCATCCAAAACGCAAGCTTCAAAATACTGGTACATCCTAAGTTTGTTATGTAAATCCTCTGTGTAAGCTTATGTTACTTATGGTAAGTGCCCCTTTACGGAGACCTCTTATGAAAATCACAGGCCCACTCCACTTTCATTTATCACTGTATAAAAACTGAATAAATGGGTATACTAACGCTAAACAATATATCAAACAAGTTTAAATGTAATTTGCGTCCGGCAACCCTGCAAAATCATATTTGAGTATCACCTGTATTGGTTGTGTTAAAACAGCGGGAAACTTAACATCAAGCCGTACACGTCTAGGGATGTTGACACTGAACAGCTTTACATGGGAAATACATTACTTTTCAATCAACAGATATGTAATTTTGTTACGACTTTTTCAAGTTTCACTTCTTGTTATGTATACGGGCATTGCATTGCATTTTCTGTGCAGGACTTTTAAGAACTTTAGCATACAATATGATATACAGATATATGCTTAAATTAAAATAAGTGAAGTATCCCGATCACTGAGACACGTGTTATATCAGCGAGAGAAACACCTTTGTCATGGAGAGCCACAGGTAAGTGGAAAGCGCTAAAAATGCTTGAACTAACATCTGGAAAAGGAAACTTAACAGTTTGATGATAATAATAATAACTTATTTTAAGGATGTATGGTATATTACTGTATAGGTAGTGACTATCATTGTGTACTGTATCAACACACTTTAAGGCTGTATGTACATTACTATATAGGTAGTGACCATCATTATGTACTGTATCAGCAAAGACTTTAAGGCTGTATGGTACATTACTATATAGGTAGTGACCATCATTATGTACTGTATCAACAAACAATTTAGGCTGTATGGTACATTACTATATAGGTAGTGAGTATCATTGTGTACTGTATCAACACGCTTTAAGGCTGTATGGTACATTCCTATATAGGTAGTGACTATCATTGTGTACTGTATCAGCAAAACACTTTAAGGCTGTATGGTACATTACTATATAGGTAGTGACCATCATTGTGTACTGTATCAACAAACACTTTAGGCTGTATGGTACATTACTATATAGGTAGTGACTATCATTATGTACTGTATCAGCAAAGACTTTAAGGCTGTATGGTACATTACTATATACGTAGTGACTATCATTGTGTACTGTATCAACAAACACTTTAAGGCTTTATGGTACATTACTATATAGGTAGTGACTATCATTATGTACTGTATCAACAAACACTTTAAGGCTGTATGGTATATTACTATATAGGTAGTGACTATCATTGTGTACTGCATCAACAAAACACTTTAAGGCTGTATGGTACATAACTATATAGGTAGTGACGATCATTGTGTACTGTATCAGCATACACTTTAAGGCTGTATGGTACATTACTATATAGGTAGTGACTATCATTGTGTACTGTATCAACAAAACACTTTAAGGCTGTATGGTACATAACTATATAGGTAGTGACGATCATTGTGTACTGTATCAGCAAACACTTTAAGGCTGTATGGTACATTACTATATAGGTAGTGACTATCATTGTGTACTGTATCAACAAACACTTTAAGGCTGTATGGTACATTACTATATAGGTAGTGACTATCATTGTGTACTGTATCAACAAACACTTTAAGGCTGTATGGTACATTACTATATAGGTAGTGACTATCATTGTGTACTGTATCAACAAACACTTTAAGGCTGTATGGTACATTACTATATAGGTAGTGACTATCATTGTGTACTGTATCAACAAACACTTTAAGGCTGTATGGTACATTACTATATAGGTAGTGACTATCATTGTGTACTGTATCAACAAACACTTT